GTAGCATAAAACAGTGTCGAGAAAAACGCGTTCAAAGCTAGGCTACGCGACACTCCACACCGTCATTATGGGGGTGGGGTACTATTACAGTATTTACGGTATGTGAAATCGAAAGGGAATAATTGTTTTTGCAGATGAGAGCAATAAGGTGAATAGTTTAAAGTTTAATGATTGAAATGATCAAAACGATGATTTCTTTTTTGTCTATTTGATAGGTTATACTGAAAAATACCGCAATTAAGTGTTTTTACTTTATTCTAAAGTTAAATAATCAGAAGAACATTTCCTTTTCAAAAATGGATCTCTGTAAGAGGAAAGTTGTGGGGGAAGAACTGGCTAGGGAAAGGCAAAAGCTTTAAAATGTTCTTTCCTAGAAAGGTATGTTGATGGCCAAGTGGATAACGCATTAAGGTTCGGTCCCTGATGCTCGGTCCAGGACCAGGGTTCGGTCCCTGATGCTATAACGATTTTATAAAGTACACTGTTCAGACAAAAGCTCATCTTGAGCTCGCGCCCTTCCCTAGTGAGAAGCACTAACAGGATCTCATTGCCAGTTTGCTAACACCAATCAATTTACCCCAACCCTCACCTAATTTTTAATGTTTCAAAATGAAAAATGTGAAAAAATTTAACCAATCGATCCAATCGATCTTATAGATCTTATAGATAAAAGTGATCGTTTCTATATCGGTGAGTTGTTGGTTAGGATTGACAACTGGATTTGGCTGGAGATTGATGCCAAACGGATGAATCGACGAAGGCTTAGACTTAGGCTCATGGCGGAGGCCATTTTCTTGCAGACAAAGATTCAATCCATACATTGCTTTTGAAAACAAAAACCCATATAGAATCATAAAGTGAAAGTCAAAATTTTGAAACAAAGCGAAAATCGTCAAATCGAAAATTAAATTGTCAACAAGTTGAATAGGAATTTGATTACATGATTACAAGAAGACCAAAGCTCATCTTGAGCTCGTGTCCTCCCCTAGTGAGAAACACTAACAGGATCTCATTGCCCGTTTGCAAACACCAATCAATTTACCCCAACCCTCACCTAATTTTTAATGTTTCAAAATGAAAAATGTGAAAAAATTTAAGTGCAGAATCATCGATTCCTGTGCAAAGCGAAAAGCTTTTATTAATTCTGGCAAAAAAAAATATTTCTGTTGCACAAAAGGGCCAAATTTTGAACAAAATGAAGCTTCAAAAAGCTAAAATGGGCGATGTGTGGGAGGGTTTTTGAGGGGGGAAAAGGGGGTAGGCTAATTTCCGCAATTTTTTTTGCGCAACAGGGTCATTTGCGCAACTCGCCATAACTTTCTTCTAAATGGGCTAGTCTTTATGATTTTTGTGTCATTTTGTAGATCACAATAAGTGCAACAAAATGGCACCAACATCATAAAGATTGGCTCACTTAGAAGAAAATTATGGCTAGTTTACGCAAACGACCCAGTTGCGTAAAGGACCCTGTTGCGCAAAAAAATTTGCGGAAATTAGCCTACCCTGGGAAAAGTGATGAAGAGAGTTAAATATAAGGAATTTTTAACAAATTCACGACGATACGGCTCACCGGCCGTACTAATGACGATTATTTTTTGTCTCAACTCAAGTTTTTAAGGAGTTTTGTTATTTATTTCGCAGTAGCTTTACATTCGTTTTCAAGCGGAGATTCAGTGCTATCGAATGGCTAGAATAGTTTCGTTTATCTTTGAATTTACACCAAAATATCAGTGAAAACAGTTAACGACTACGAGACTGTACGCCAAAGATGCCCAAAAATACCCAAAAAATGCTCAAAAACCTAGCCTTGAAGACAAAAACCTAGCCTTACTTTTGTAAGACAAGTTCAACGAGGCAATTAAAGAGATTTCATTACTGATTGATTTTATTTATTTAGATTTATATTTATGCTTTAAATTTATATTTATATTTATATTTATATTTATATTTATATTTCAAAACGATAGTACAAGCTGCTCAAGAAGATTTACAAGCTGCTCAAGAACATCCAAAACGCGAAATGGGCCTCGAATACAAGTTTTAAGTTTAGCCAGAAAGAAAAATATAGTAAAGCTTTAATTCTTAAGCGATAAAATAAAAGTAACTAATAGTTTGGTATTTATTTTTTGCAGAAAAATCAATCATCACGCTCAAATCGAGAGTGGGGTTCAAGGGGAACGAGAGAGGCGAAAAGAGGAAAAAAAATATTGAGAAAGAGAAAGATATCTCTTTTTTTATGTATTGAAAGTCTGAAAAGAGCTTGTGTCAAAAAAAGAACACAAAAATGAAAAGTGAAAAGAGAAAAGAAACAAAAAAAAGAGCATAGGTCAGGCTAAAAGATGGATAAAATTTGAGAAAATATTGAAAGAGAAAAGTTTTTTTTTTTGGGGAAAATTTTGCCGTTTTCTGTCTATTTGTTTGCTGGAAGGGCTCCTTTTTCCCTTTTCGCCCATTTTTTTTTGTTTTTGATCTGCAAGATAGAGATAATTTTCCTTTTTTCTTTTTTCTTTTTTTTTTTCTTTTCTTGAAACTGATCAATTTTGATTGGGACGCTGACTGAGCGTCCGTGGCAGTGAACGCTGAACAAATTTGGTTTAAAAGTTGAGAGAAAATTTGTTTGTTAGTTTCAAAATTAGGCTTAAAATTAGCAAAATTGTTGGCTTTTTCAAATGAAAAAGCAAAATTGTTGGCTTTTTTCTTTCGTCAGAAAACGGGAAATTTAGTTTTTCGAGCTGGAGATCGGCACTCGATTTTTGAGGATGCCAAAACTGAAAAATGAAAAATGCGAAGTTGTTAACAGGCTAACAGCCTAACTTGCTAACTTGCTAACAGGCTAACTTGATAACAGGCTAACTTGATAACAGGCTAACTTGCTAACAGCCTAACTTGCTAACAGCCTAACTTGATAACAGGCTAACAGGCTAACAGGTTAACTTGCTAACAGGCTAACTTGCTAAAAGGCTAACTTGCTAACAGGAAAATGCTAACTTCCAAACAGGTTTGGAGTGTCGCGTAGTTGCTATTCCGGACCAGTGCAGCCGATCTTTTGAAATTTTAAATCAAATTGACAAAAACGAGAATTTTTCTTTTGTAGTCGATTGATTTGAAACATTGGAAAAGTTCAAAGTTTTTGTGAGCCGATTTGCTCACAAAAACTATCGTCTAAAAGCTAAAGACTAAAGCTAAAGAGCCAAAAAGACTTATTTTAAAAGCTTTTTTCGGGGGTAGGCTAATTTCCACAATTTTTTTTGCACAACAGGGTCATTTGCGCCACTGGGTCGTGTGCGCAACTCGCCATAACTTTCTTCTAAGTGGACCAATCTTTATGATTTTAATTTCATTCTGTAGATCACAATAAGTGCAACAAAATGAAACCAAAATCATAAAGATTGGCTCACTTAGAAGAAAGTTATGGCGAGTTGCGCACACGACCCAGTGGCGCAAATGATCCTGTTGCGCAAAAAAAAATTGCAGAAATTAGCCTAGCCCTTTTTTTTTTACATATTTCGATCAAATTCAAATGTAAATCTATTCTTGTAACGATAAAATTGTAAAACTTGTAAAATGTGTGCAAAGAATCAAATGTTTCAAGCTTGTAAATTTTAGAAAAACAACGGGGGTGGGACAAATGCGACCTTTTTTTGCGCACCTGGACATTTGCGCACCTTTTTTTTGTTGGAAAAGGCTTTAGGCAAGGCCGTAGAGCTTTGAAAATTTATCCATATAAGGGAATCGTATGCGTAGATTCAGAATTTCGACAAATCAGACCTCGCTGACACGTCAAATTTGGGCTAAAAGCCAAAAACTGCTGAAAAGCGTTAAGTTGCGTAGTTTTTGCCTTTTAGCCCAAATTTGACGTGTCAGCGAGGTCTGATTTGTCGAAATTCGGAATCTATGCATACGATTCCGTTATATGAAAACATTTTTGAAGCTCTACGACCTTTCCTAAGGCCTTTTCCAGCAAAAAAAGGTGCGCAAATGTCCAGGTGCGCAAAAAAAAGGTCGCATTTGTCCCACCCCCAAAACAACAGAAGCTAGGGGAACACGTTTCATAAGAATTATTTTAAAAAACTCAATAGAAAAATGATGCTTCAAAGTTGATCAAGAAAAAAAGAATTGAAAAGAAGCAATGATAATCTTCTTTTTTTCTTCTTTTCCTTCTTCTTTACGCCAAAAAAAAATCCAGAAATTCTCTTAAACAAAGTCGAAAATTGTTTTGCCCACAAAAAAATATTGATAGAAGTTGTTTTTACATGAGATTTGTCGATGATATTTTTAAATTCCCCCAAATTTGAGTGATTTCTCTCTTTTCTGGCTTGTTTTCCCACATTGAACAAAAGGGATTTCCATTGAAAATTTCTTTTTAATCGAAATTTCGAAAATATCTCTGATCTGATAAACAATTAGAACACCAATGTCGCAAAAAAAAGCTAGCATTGTTTTGAATTTTCCAAAACTTTGAAACATTCAAAGCTCAAAGCACAAAAAACAAGTTTCAAGTGTTTTGTGGTGCTTTAACAGACATTTTTTGTCAGCAAAAAGGCCCAAAATTTGCATTCGGGGGCTTTCGAGAGTGTTGATTCAAAATTTCGATTCTTTTTTTCTATCTTCGCCCAGAAAATGTTACTAATTTTGGGCAATTGCTGGATGTTAGTTTACACGCATTTCTGGGTGAATGAAAGTGTTTCTAGCGGTCATTCAGGCCCTATAATTGTTTTCCTATCATAAAAACTAGGGGGTAATTAGGGGTACAAATTTCCTCCGTTGTGTTGTAATTCATTATTCGTGTCGAATAAATATACTTTTTAAAAAGAGAAATCGACTTTCAAGGCATAGGCAGCGTTCTACTCGTCACCCTTCGACACGATGATATCTCGCGAATTTTACGCGAAAAGTTTGCCAGCCGAGTGCAACGAACACAAAGAATAGGTAAGCACTTATAGTTAGGTAGTTGTTTTCCCATGAAAGTGAGCAAAACTCATAAATATCATTTTGATTTACAGTGTCAGATCAATCATTCCAAACGGAGCCTCGTCGACGCTCTCCTTTGTCGTTAAAGAGAAACACGGAGGAAACGTTTCCGATAAATTGATTATATAGCTCAAAACATTATACAATTTACTCTTTTCTTATTCTTTTTTTATCTAAATTTTTGTTTTTGATCAATCTGATCACGTGGGCTAAACTAAACGAGGTGATGTCAAACGCCTTGTAATCGGCATCCCAACTAAACGAGGTGATGTCAAACGGCTTGTAATCGGCATCCCAACTAAACGAGGTGATGTCAAACGCCTTGTAATCGGCATCCCAACTAAACGAGGTGATGTCAAACGCCTTGTAATCGGCATCCCAACTAAACGAGGTGATCTCAAACGCCTTGTAATCGGCATCCCAACTAAACGAGGTGATGTCAAACGCCTTGTAATCGGCATCCCCTAATACGATCCTGCTCCAAGCGCTAAAGTGTAAATAATTTATACAATATTTGTTTCCGTACATACAACTCTAATTTAATCACATATTGAGACGATTCCGAATAAATTCGATAAGCGAATGAATAAATTCGATAAGCGAATTCCTTGTGTAGTGTCGTTTTTGGATTGAGTCTGGGCAATGACACTTCTCGTGTAGCAAATGGAAATGGAATGATTTTAAGTTGCTCTAGAATTTGTGATTTTTGTGATTTATTTTTTAAAAGAATGAAACAATAGCATACTTTTTCTGCTAAAAAACCATTTCCTTGATCAGAAATATTGTTTGATTTGGTTTGTTGGTTTGTATTGCTTTGTAATATTGGTTTGTAATAACAGTTCACAGCTTTTAAGTCAATAAAATTTAGTCGATTTAGTAAATTTGATCAAAATTTTTCGAACTCACTTTCACTCACCAGAATCACTTCCACGATGATGATCGCGATCGCGACGCCTACAAGGATACCACAAATGCGAAATAGGGGCTTCAGGTAGGCAAGACGTAGAGCATAGGATTCCTTGAGGGACTCTTGACGAACGAACGGGCTGTATGGCTGCGAGTATCTGAGATTTTTGCGCAACTCTTGAATAAAACTCTACCAAAAAAACCTTGACGCCATGTTGTTATACCCGCCCTGCATCATCGAGATTGCCTTGTTGAGCTTCTCGCGGACGGTCGTCAAATTTCTGAAGAGCTTGCTACTGCTTTTTCTTCTAACACATTCACGACAAGGTTTTTTGATTTTTGCGTAAGTCATTTCCCTTCCAGCTCGTCTAAAAACGTTCACAGGTAACCGATTTACTTAAATTCGGGCTCAAAACGAAGAAAAATGTTTGAGGATCATTTATCTAAAAACTGTTTAAAGAAATATTGACTTTGAAGAGAGTTATGAACTTTTGAATGCAAATTAATTCCCGGGTCACGGGTGTCCCGGGAAATTCCTCATGCTAAAACATTCTAAACTTTCTTCAAACTCAATATTTCTTTAATCTGTTTTCAGATGAATGATCCTCAAACATTTCTCTTCGTTTTGAGCCCGAATTTAAGTAAATCGGTTACCTGCGAACGTTTTTAGACGAGCTGAAAGGGAAATGACTCAAACATTTCTCTCATTTTGACCCCTAATTTAAGTAAATCGGTTGCCTGTGAGCGTTTTTAAACGAGCTGGAAGGGAGAATAACTTACGCAAAAATCAAAAAACCTTGTCGTGAATGTGTTAAGGCTCCAACTAGCTTTTAGAAAGAGGCTCGGAAACCTAGTAACTAGAAACTCGAAAGGGTTTTAGTTACTACAAAATTTGAGCTTAAATTCTAGCTAATAATAGTTGAATTCCCAAATGAAGTTGGTTTGAGCGAACTAACAGAAAACGGGAGGGCAACCTAAGCCAATCTTGGATACATCATGGTTAGGTTAATTTTTGTTACAAAGCAACTGGATCTAGACTAACTATCACCGAAAACTTTGGCTCTAAATCTATTGGATATCAGATATACTTGTTGACGGCAAAAGCCAAATTCCTCTTCGGCAACGTGACATCTTTGATGAACAATGTTTTTGCCTTTTTGTCAATATACGAGACATCGCTTTCCACGAGATAACTGTACGAGCCGCTGAACATCACCGATTTTGGTGGTAATGTCTAAAGCAGTAAAACGTTTTTCTTTTGAGCTCTCTCAAACCTTTATTTCGTAGCCGAAAGGATAGCGGATGGCTCTGAAATTGGGGTTCTTTGTCAAGTTTTCTCGATGATCTCACGTTTTTAGGTGATGCTCGACGCGTTCGATTTGTTGTTGCGTCTTGCAAAACATCTGGTAATCCCAGCCGCTTTCTTGGACGGCTAACCGCCAACCTGTGTTTTATTTGGTTTAGTTTTACTCAAAAATCTTTGCAAACCTTTATGATCGAGTACATCCAGCATACCTTCGATGTCTTGAAACTCGTATCTGAAAGCATCGTTTGAAAACCTTTTTTTGAAACCGAGTTGCTTTTCTGTCTAAAGTTTGCATTCTGTTCGGGCTCTTTAGATCCACTATAGCAAAACCTGGTTCGGATACAGTTCCAATATGGTTCCAATATAGGTTCCAATATGGTTCCAATATGGTTCCAATACGGTTCCAATATGGTTCCAATATGGTTCCAATATGGTTCGGATACGGTTCCAATATGGTTCCAATATGGTTCGGATACAGTTCCAATATGGTTCCAATTAGGTTCCAATACGGTTCCAATATGGTTCCAATATGGTTCGGATACAGTTCCAATATGGTTCCAATTAGGTTCCAATATGGTTCCAATATGGTTCCAATTAGGTTCCAATACGGTTCCAATATGGTTCCAATATGGTTCGGATACAGTTCCAATATGGTTCCAATTAGGTTCCAATACGGTTCCAATATGGTTCGGATACAGTTCCAATATGGTTCCAATTAGGTTCCAATACGGTTCCAATATAGTTCGGATACGGTTCCAATATGGTTTCAATATGGTTCGGATACGGTTCCATAATGGTTCCAATTAGGTTATGGTTAAACCATAATGGTAATGGTTAAACATAATGGTTAAACCAAGCTTGACCTGACTTCACAGTTCAGACTAACCAAAATCAAACATAAAGAGTTTATCACTTAGTTAATGGCTTGACTCTAAATTCTATTGTTTTTATAAAATAAAACAAATAGACTAAAAGACCTATCGAGCCACTTACCCCTTTTTCGACGACAACGTCAAATTGCTCTTCATCGCGCTCTCGTAGTAGTGCATGAAGAAAAAGCAAAACCAGCTCCACGAAATCATGAAGAAAGCATTCGATGTCGTGTATCGTCTAAAAACTTTATGACAATCGATTCTCACTCAACAAACCTTTTTATTTTCCCGTCCTGTTTCAGCCATATCCTACCCGAATGTAAAAACCATGACGCATAGCTTCTGCGATGACCCGACAAGAACCACATCATAAATGGACTAAATGAAACTTATAAAACGATTATTGTACTTATCAATTACCTCACAAACAACGCAAATAACATAAAGAGGAAGATCTCGGGCGCAATCGATCCAAAGATGAACTCACGAATCTGTAGCAAATACGTTAAAGGTATTAGTTAAAGGTGTTAGTTAAAGGTTCGTATTACGCTCACCTCAAGGTCGTTTGTTTCTTTGGCTATGTAACCAGAAGCAAGATAGTTGATGGGTGTAGTGAAAGTGACCTGAGAGTTCGAGTCAAAGACTTGTTTACCAGCTTAGCATTTAACAAAAGTTGTAATGTATTTCTGTTATTCTTGTTGTATTATAATTTCTTTCGCACCCAAGAGCAGGTCACTCACAAATTGCATTCGCTCGATGCTTTGCGTGATCGAATGCACGCTGATGTCGGCTGAGCCGTTCGCAATGGCCTCTAGCAGCGCTTCGATTTGGTAGTCGACCGGAATCACCTAGACTTTGTTTTTATATTTCCAAAAAAGCCTTGTTTACGCCAAAGAGTGCCAGCGCTGTATGTTTGTTAACATTTTGGTCATTTTGGTTTGTTAAAATTAGCCTTTAGCTAATGCATCCCTTATCTAGCTTTGCCTTAACAAACCTCAGCCTCTAAACCCGACATTCGTAGAGCCAAATTCAAGAACTCGACATCAATGCCCGGCTGTTTGCAACTCATCCTCCAACATCTAAAAATTCTTTTTTCATACTCCGAATTCTCAACATACTTTTTGCTAAAGCTGACCAAGTGTTCATTTGTCATGTAGCCAATCGCTCGCAATTTCATTCAAAAACAAGTGTTGTGATCTAGAAAAAGCAGAGAAAAAGCTCTAGAAAAAGATTTGGCCCCTTCTTGGCCAAGAACCCTTATAAAAGATGCACAAAGGCGCGAAGAGGCCGAGAAACAAAAGCAATTTGATATGCTACTTTTTGGCGTTTCTCCAATGCTGGACAACTTGTCGACTATACATATGGCCAATAAACCCAACGTGATCAAAGTAACAAAAAACGTTTTCAACCATGTTTTCGACCCTCTAAACCCCCTTTTGGGCCTAAAACCGCCAAACACCCTGTTTTCCAATATAAATGGGTATTTCAGACCTGTTGTGCGCAAAAGACGTTTTTCCACGTGTGCGCAAATGTCGCTGCGGTATTGTCATGGTCCCGATTTTAGTCCCATATCGACGCAAATGAGGCACGTATTATTGTTTATTGATGTACGTATGTATGTATTATAGTCGTATTATTGTCATTGACCCGACTCGACCCGACTTAAGGCAAATGTCTATTGTTTATGCATCTTTAAACTTTTTCTTTTAATAGGATTGTAGACATTATTCAAGGAAAAGAATTGCGTCGAAAATTATATTTTTAAAACCCCGATTTATTCCCAAGCATATGTAATTATTCTTTTTTTCGAGTCAATCATTCTCCATCAATCGAGTAGGCCGTAGAACAGTCATCAACCTAAAAACGGCACTATATAAAACAAAAGGAAAGCCATTAAACTGTTGTTAGATATCCTAAAAGTTCTAAAAACCCTGTACCAACCGTTCGAATGCGATATGGAGTGGCAGAGAGCCAATCGGAAGCACAAATTTCCTCATAATCGAGGCGTTCTTTCGGAATCGGATGCAATGTGTCGTGAATGAGACGTTTCACCTCCCACGATAATTCCATTCGAGGAAATCTGAAGGACGCAAGAAAATATTGAAAATCATACAATCAGTCATACCGTATCTTGTGCGCCATTTGTTGTTCGACCATTTTGCGCAAATTTCGATCATCATAGGGCATTACGCCGGTGACCATAATGTACAAAACGATGCCCACACTCCAAATATCAATCTAAAGCAAAGGTTAATTAAGGTGATCAATCAAAGTACTCATTACCGCATTGTCCGTGTACTGTTTTGCGCGAAGAACTTCGGGAGCTACGTAGACACGAGAGCCGCAAAATGTGCTCGATGCCTTAAAAATATTGATACAACTTGCTTTCTAATCTAACCTGTCCTTGGTTGAGAAAACGAGCAAATCCAAAATCGGCCAATTTCACATTATCGAAGCGATCGAGAAGAATATTCTCGCATTTCAAATCACGATGAACCACCGAAACGTCTTGGAGATACTAAACAAAACCTTTTTAAACAGAAAGCTCGCATTTAAAATAAACCTTGAGAGCTTCAATCATTTGTCGAAAGTAAAATTTGGCATCCGTTTCGGGAATGTACCGCATTTTCTAAATAAACACAGATTTTAACATATTTAGGCAACTTTCAACCTTGATCCGTTCCAAAAGATCCCCATTTTCGCAAAGTTCGGTCACCATACACGTGTAGTTGGGAATTTCAAAGACCTAAACAAATAGAATATACAAATTAGTCAAAAAGATTATTGCAAATCACAAAAATTTACTCGATCAACGCGAACAATGTGTGGATGGCGTAAAAGAAGCACAATGGATACTTCACGAGGCAGAAATTTGCGCACATATTCGGATTTCTCTCTAAAAGAAAAGAAAACGGTAAGTCTGAAGAAAAAGATGAAAACTTCTACCGAGTGTCAATCATTTTCAGCGCAACTTGTTCTTTATCATAAGTTCGAATCGCTCGATAAACACGGGCATAAGATCCGGCTCCTAAATAAATCCATAAAAGAGATTGATTTTAAATTTTAGAAATGAAATGAACAAAAACAAACCAAGAAAAGTGCTTGGATCAAGAAATTTCTCGGCCAATTTTTCTCTTGTCACTTCATCAAGTTCCGGGTTTACTTTCGACATTTAGGCCAACTCTAGAATACAAAAAAGACTAAAGTAATCCATGAACAAAAATATTGCAACATTTTAAAAACTGACCTGTTCAGTAAATTGGGGAAAAACCAGTCGAAGCGTACAGAATACGAAAATGATTTTTCTTTTGTGAACATTTCTTGCATTGCAAAAAGCATATGTAAATTCACCTTTTTTAAATTTAAATTATTCCCTTTGGGCTAACCTTTACACATTCTTCAATTGAGTCGTGTAATTTTTGTATAGAATAGCAGAGAATTTCTTGAAAAAACATTTCTTTAAAAAACATAAAGAAACAGTAAACGTGACATGATATAATTACAATTACAGGATAAAACAATTGAAATTTGATTCTTGAATTATTCAATTAGCGCATTTGAATGATCCCGGCATTCTTGAGCTTGTGTATTTTCTTCGCGATTTCAGGATTGGAGAGATGCGCGCGGATGGCTCCAGGGTCCTAAAAATTGGGTTTCGATAAGTAATCAATGCTGCGCAGATGATACCTGACTCATTTGTTCAAGGATAAGACGCATTCCAGGATCACTGAGGATTTCTTGCACTTCTGGGTCATTAAGAGCCCTCTCGCGTGCCTGTAATAACAAAGTTGAACTGTTATAACATTAAACCCTCAAATTAAACAAACCTTCTCTGGTGGCTCATCCGAGCTTGAATAAGCCTGACGAAGTCCTTGCATGGCTTCGCTAAATTAATCAATGAATCAAATCATTAAAATAAAACCAACGCGTTGCTTGGATCAACAGCCAATGCTCCTTTATATGCGTCTTGTGCCCGGGAAAACTCTTTCATTGCCATCAAGCAAGCACCCTTCCGGATGTATCCTTTAACTAAAAAGAGACATTTTTAATGAAAATAAATTTAATAACCAAATTTCTTGTCCTTCCTGATACAAGTATCACAATCCTCAAGGGCTCGTTGAAAATCCATCAGTTTCGTATAACAGGCGGCCCTAAACTATGCAATAAAAAATTAACGCAATATTGAACCTGTTAGAGTAAAGAACAGCATTTTCCGGGTCTCTCTTCACTGCCTCGTTGTAGTGCTTCATGGCGTTGGGAAAATCTCCTTTCTGAAAAAATACATATGTAGCATTTCTTAATCAAAAACAACCTTGAAGTAGTCATTTCCCTTTTGCTTTTCTTCTTCAGCTATCTTTGGATTGATGTACGATCGCTTTTCGGCCTCTTTGATCTCATTTTCGAGTGCTTTTGTCTTCTTCACTAATTCCTAAATTCTCGACATTTGGATAACTGATGATTTAATCTTACTTGATCCCGATGTTCGGAGAGCGATTTCTGGAACCAATGAAGAGCTTCCTTTTGATTTTCTTTCTTGAGATAAGCATTACCGATCCTTGCCATAGCTCTAAATGAAAAGAATTATAATCAGTAAAGAATTCAAACCTTGCTATCATTTGATAATCAGCTCGATTATCACGTCCCACTTCCACAGCTTGCTTGCACATTTCGATACACTCATCAAAGCGTTCTTCTTCAAAGAAAACGGCTAAACAAGTTGAGTTACTACACAAACAATTAAACTAGCCTGCTTTGTTGTTGTAAAAGACAATGTTTGAAGGGTTCAACTTGATCGCCTTGTCATAATGTTCATGAGCCACATCAAATTCCTGAATGAAGTAAATTGAAATTGTGCCAAGTTTACAATAACTAATCAATACTTGACTATATTAAGCAACTCAAATCCTAATCCTTAACATAGCCAAAAAGCTCACCTTTTTCTTGTAGGCTTCATTTCCGAGATCTTTCTCAGCAAGAGCACTTTCAACGTCAGTCATTCTAAACATTTATTCTTTTTCAAAAACAATTTACAGTGATAAAAGAAAGCTATTAGAAAGTTAGCTATTAGAAAGCACTTAAAGCACAGATCATACAGACAAGCAACAAGCATAAAAATTGGCTAAAAGTTATATTCTGCAAACACACAAAGTCATTCAACTTTTCCTTTGTGGGCTCCACCACCGCAAATCTTTGGATTTTCCTTGTGAATCTTGACTCGACCTTGATTCTTGAAATCGACAGGGCAATGATGTGACTCCGGCTGACGATGTTTCACGCAAAAGGCACGTTCACAAGCACATTTTTGCTCTTGTTCACGAAGCTGCAGCTTCTTGCTGCAAATCTTGCATCGCACCCTTGCCATCAAGTCAAATTTAGCGCGAACTTCGTTCACTTGTTGCATATTTTGTGGTGCTAGGTAGAGATCGTGACGAACAATCTCCAATTCGGCTTCAGTTTCAGCACAGGGAAAGTAGAGACGCAATTCTTTCTCCGTAATCGGTTTTTCATCTCCAAAAATTGATCCAGTTGAAGTATTTGATGAAGAATTCGTCGAACTAATGATCTCGCTTGAAGTTCTCGAAAGAATTGAAACAGCGGAAGTACTTTGTGACGATAATGCAGGCTCGGGAGGAGTAGTGGCACTGGAGATGATATTCGAATCGATGAAAGCACTCTTCGATGTGCTTTTGGTGTGTTTGCAACGACTGAGCAAAACCCTCATCCGATCCCTTGTTTTTTCGTGTTCCTTTTGCTTTTGTCGAGTTGCTTCATCAGACTTCTCACCCACGGGCTCAACTGGCTTTCCTCTTTTCCGATTGTTCATCATACGAATTGTTGATCGAATTTGTCCTATGTTGTCCTTTGGCAAATCGAGTGGCATGAAGAGTACCACGTCCGTCGTTGCTGGAGATTTCTTGAGTCCGGAGCCCAGCTTTACATGCAACATCACAGTGGCGTCACCGAAAATAATCAGGATTTTATGATAAAGAAACTTATTCAGATATTATTACAATAAATAACCAACCTGTAATTCCATATTGAGCAATTGGCCATTCGTCTTCTTTGAGTTCGATTGCTTTGTGCATCAGGGCGAACTTCTCCGTAATGACACCTATCTTCTCGCTGACATTTGTTTTCAATTCGGCCACTTTTGCATCTTTCCAAAGTTGAAAAAGAAGATCGGGTCCACCCATGGGCGATTTGACGGTGATTGTGACTGAGTCTTCGCCATTGGGAGGAAGTGAAATCCCACCAGGATCCATTTCTTACGGATTCCTCGGCTCTAAAATGAAAACATTAGTGATGCGTGAAATAAATGGACTGAATTCTAGAAGGAAAACAGGAAAAATCAAATTGTAAATGTGCGAGAATGAAGTCTTTTTTCCAAAATGAACCAAAGGACAATTACCGACAAATGGAACAACTGAATATCGAGAAAGATCAAAGAATTTGCCTACATCAATCACCTTTATTTCAAATTTTCATTCTAAATTTGAATTTATAGGTCCTTTATAAGTAACTCTGTTGGAGAAGAAGAAATCATTCTCAACAATCGACTCCTCTTCTTCGGATCTCCAAAAGGTATCTTTTTATCGTTCTTTACTTGCTTTTTTTTTGTTTTAACGTTCTAAACCTTTGTTAAACTGCCATACTGCCCAACCACTCTAGCGCTTTAAGCGTATTTGATTATCCCAGAAAATACAAAACCTGACTAGAAAAACACGCGTAAAATAGTTTCTGGTCGGGTTAGGTCAAAATGCCCCCCTCCTGAACTTCATTAGCGGGTGAATAATAATAGCCACAGGGTTCTTTTGTAAAAGTGCATTAATGTTTATCTTACTTCTCGTTAGTCTTTGAAAATTACTTCAGCAGCATTTACGTAAACTGATTTTTAATATTCTTTACCCGCATCTAATTATTTTGCTTTAGTGAGTAGCAATGCGCTCGAAGTTGATGATTACCGTGCTTTTCCTCGTCGGATCTATCGCCATGTCGGCCATTGCCAACGAAAACCCCAATAAGGTTAATAATTTGTGTCTATAGGTACTAGATCATAGAAAATTTTAAGCGGACACCTCTGTGTGACCCTTATGTTATTCTTAGCGTCTTGTTTTTAAACTATCAATGCATTTTTTAGTTCAAGTTTCCGGGCGGTATTGCAGTCAAAATTTCGAGGGCCCCAGGCTTCACGTTGGTATTTTTAATGTTGACAATTTTAATCTTTCTTAGGCGACCACGTCCTGGTGGACTAGAAGGCAAAGGCATGACCATCATTGGCGGGGCACCGATTCACACGACAAAAAACGGAAGGGCCACCACTACCTCCAGCAATGACAACAACAAACCCTCCTTTACAACCACCACCAAAGGAAAAGAACGGGGTTAGGGCAACCCTTTTAAAACACTTTATCATTTTTTAGATTCGACCACTACTCCAAGAAATGCCACCTTCACAACTACGCCCAAAAATGATACCTTCACCACTTTCACCAAAGGAAAAGGGCAAGGTTTGAGCAAGTTTTTTAAAACACCTGGCCATTTTTTAGATACGACCACTACACCCAAAAATGGTACCTTCACTACCACCCCCAAGAATGGTACCACCACGACGTGGCATCTGAAAAAATCTAAGGAAAGTGTCGATAAATGGGTAAAGGTTAGTTTCTGTTGCTTTGGCTTAAATTTGTGTCCTTTTAGGTTTTGTTGCAAGCAAACCGCACTCAAATTGCAAACAACTACAAGCCGATTGCATCGATTGCCCCGGACTTTGTCGAATTCCACCCCGACGAGATGTTGTAGAAAGTGAGTTGAAATGACTTGTTTTCATTATATCTCATTTTCATTTTAGACTCTTCTATCTCATAGCACAACAATCGGATGCTCGACGCCAAAATTGCCGTGAATAAACTTTTGGTAATGTTTCTTGTGAAATAAATCGTTGCTCTGGGTAAAATGGGTGACTTATTGTAATTGAGTCAAAATAGGAAGTGGATTACTGTAGAAAATCGATATGCAAGTCTAACTTCAAGGCATTTCTTTTATTGGACTCATTCTTTCGTACATGTAAAACACGCATTCAATAACAAGCTCGACAAATTCTCATCCTTATCGTGTGCTCGTGCCATAGCGAGAGAAATTTGATGTTCTCCACGAAAATATAACAATACGCAATGGACATGGCCATTACACCGAACAAGCTCGACCAACCTGTCCATGAACCTGAATTTTTTTTGTTAAATCGTTTTTGGTTTGCATTTACAATATATGTATAGGAGTAGATTGAGTAATGCTCTAAGATTTCGATGTTTGGGGAAGCTACCCTAGTCTTCTTTTCTACAAGGTGAATAATTCAGAAACTACCGTGAGCTTTTTTTAAATTTTGTCCGATTTACTTACAATTATCAAACTGTGAATCTACTATATATAAAAGAGTAGTGTCTGTCTGTCAATTTTGACTTTTTAAAATTTAAATGACACAACTATAAAATATTTTAAGTTTTTCTAAAGAAGTTTTAGCTTTATTGGTCAAAACTTCTTTAGAAAATCTTAAAATATTTTATAATTGTGTCATTTAAAATTAAAAAATAAAAGAAAGCCAAAATTGAGTGGCACTACGGGGGTCGAACTCGGGTTGTGAGAGCCGTAGACAAGCGCGCTCACGACTACACCACCGAGAAAGCCATGCTGCGGCACCAAAACATTTAGTCCTATATATAATCTGCAGGATCTGTGTGCGTCCGACTGTCGTAATAAATTGAGAGGATAGATTGATTTGGCTAAAAACTCGGGAAGTGATATAAAAAATTAGCTAATTCCGAATATCAAATTAGAAATTAAATACAAGTACGTCTTAATACTCATTACTAGGTGTACTAGGGTCATTATGACAGGCTACGAATCAATTTTGCATACAAAATTTTAAAAAGCTGAGAATTTTCACCCTGGAGCTGACCTTAAAATCATGCAGAACGGATGACATCTAAAGGAAAGCTTAGTTTTGGATGATTGGGGAAACTACCATAGTCTTCTTTTCTACAAGGTGAATAATTCAGAAACTAAAAGTAAAGTTTTCCAAATTATTCATTCTTTAGAAAAGACTCTGCCGCTATATGTTTCCTTTTTCTTACCCGGACTTGCCATCACTATAAGTAGCATCATTCCGGCTGATAATAATGCAATTATAACATAAAATGCTCGTATAGCGACTTGGAGAAGCTGAAAGTTTGTGCAACTTAAAGCAAAGCAGTAAATAAAATCGAAATGAGGCATTTAAAACTGAATTTGAAGATCATTTGAAGATCATTTAAATTTGTGGATGCTGAAACAAACAAATTGAAAGCTGAAACAAACCAATTGAAAGCAGAACCCTTTCATCAGCCACAATTTCTTTCTCTTCACCGCGTGTCCACTCAAACATTCGAGGAAAAGCTCCATCATAATGTCGAAAAGAGTAATGAAAAATGCTCCCCAAATATAGTGTCCTTCGATGATTTTCGAGGGTCTGAAAATTGAGAAAATCTCCGAAAACTTGTCAGACTTTACAGCTAGTATTTCATTTGTACTTTGTACTTTGTACTCAAAAATGTAAACACGGCCTTTCTAGCACACCCAAGACAAGCTTTAGTGTTTAAAAAATTAAAAATCGAGTGCACTAGAAAGAATATGTTAACATTTTTGAGCATAAAGTACACCTCGAAAGAAGATACCGTAAATACTGTAATAGTACCCCACCCCCATAATGACGGCGTGGAGTGTCGCGTAGTCTAGCTTTGAACACGTTTTTCTCGACACTGGTTTATGCTACAATGCGTGCTTAGGTATCAAAAAATAGCTGAAATTCAGGGCTATTTTTCGATATCAACAGACGGAGCATCGCGTAGTCTAGCTTTGAACGAGTGTTTCTCGACACTGGTTTATGCTACAATGCGCGCTTTGGTATCAAAAAATAGCCCTGAATTTCAGCTATTTTTTGAAAGTACGGGCGCTTTGAAAAAAATGAAATACTAAAAAACTTTTGCGACTACGCGACTGTACGAGGACGGTGGGGTACTCTTACAATATTTACGGTATCCTCTTTTTTTGCAATTTTCTTATCAAGTTTTCAAAAAAACTCACTGATAAATTGCGCTGATAAGCATAAAAATCGCTTGAAAAACTTGGGTGACAAACTCGGGAATGAACAACTTTGTGGACAATCGTTCCAAATTTTCCTCAATTTTATTTAGTTTTTGACAAGAATTGAACTATTCTACTTTTTCTTGCTCAGCGCGTAGCTTCCACATCTCCAATTCCTAAAAATTTTCTTTTCTTTGATCTTACCATCAAAAAAAACTTACTCTCAGCTAATGAATTTTCTAAAAAAATATCCCCTATTTAGAAAAGCACCATAGTAAAATTGCCAATTTTCATTCGATCAGCCCAATTGTAATTTCTGACCATTAAAAGGATTACACTAAAAGAAAGAATCGATGAATTACAAGGCTCAGCCAATGATACAAAAATTGAGCTGATCGAATGAAAACTGTCGATAACGATTGTTTTTAGTTTTTAACGATTGCTTTTAACGATCTAAAATTAGTCAAGATGATGCACAACGGGTCTAAAATCGATTTTCTAAAAATTAAAAATCTGATCAATACCAATTTTTTGTATGCTATCCAACTAAGAAAAATCCAAAGTTTCATTAAAATCTGTCTACTCAAAAACAAGTTACGAGGGTGAACACGTTTCCAGGCTATTTCTTCCAGGTTTACATCTATTCAACAAAAAAAAAAAACAGGCTAAAACTTGCAAGAAACTGAATCATATATTATTCGCATTTGCTTAAAACCTTTTCATTTGATGATTTGATCATGATTGATGTTTTACTTTTACAGTACCGAGCAAAAGTCTTGCAACATCACTTTTCCAAAATATCGATGAAATTTTTTTATAGAAAATGCCACCCGTTCGTTGGGCTTTTTTGTTTTTAATTAGAATAATACATAATAATAATACTTTATTCAAAAGATAAAGTGAAAGAAATCATAGAGAAATGCACAGTGATACTTAATCATACAATACATACTGAAATCAATAAGCCAATTACTTACGGCAAAGAGCCACTAGATTTAAAGCATCGATACGTTTGAATAATACATGTACACTTTATTTACAAAAACAAATTTGAAGTTCAGCGTAAAACAAAAAAGTAAATGACAAAACTATTACTAAAAAATACCCCAAAAAAACTGGATGCAAAAGTCTTGCAACATTCTATGTTTCTCATTTTTATTGTTTTCAAATTTATTAATTTACACTAATTTTTGTTTTTTTCAGATGCCAGGTACCTATTTGACGACTCCCGAAAGTGAAAAAAATCATGAAAGTACGCCGAACTTCAAATTTGTTTTTGTAAATAAAGTGTACATGTACAGTGCGTTTCAAATTCTTAAACGCACCCTCTAAAATAGCGGATTTTGCATTTTGACCACCGCTACAACTATTAATTTTTTTCTATCAGAAAGAGCATGTCGTAAAACCTAAAAAACACGAAAAATAAGCATACTGTAAAAAATAAAAATTTTCAAAATAGAAACTTTTTGGTAAATCAACCGTTTCAAATTCTTAAACGCACTATGAAAATTGTTGTTTCTCGACACAAATTAAAAATCAAAGGTAAAAAATCAAAACTAATAATCTGTACAGGCACCAGAACGATTAATTACTTGAAAAATGCGGTCTGGCATTGAATTGATGAGGTTTTGAAGAGCAGAGACGTCGAGATTGCGCCAGGCCGAAAAAATTGCTGCTTTAAGTGTAGAAACGTCTTGAAACTGACGATGGTTCTTGTAGACAGCTCGGACAAGTATTCCCCATAAATTTTCTTCGGTTGAGGTCAGGAGACTGAGCGGGCCAGTCCAAAGTTGCAATGTTGTTGCTGTTCGCCAGTCTCGGGTGTCTCCGGCTCGATGAATTGCGCTTGTCGTATTGAAACAAATCCGGAACGATTGGATTTAGGAGCAAAACGGCAAAGCAATTATCCAAGATATCTTCTAGTCATCCGATTCGAAACTATCTTCAGGCGCCGTTCCATCGCACAAAAGGCGGCCCAAACCATCACAGAACCGCCGTCAAAGTTTTGAGTTCCAAACACCATCGGATCACGTCGAAGATCCCTCCAATAGTAGTCACGCCATTGGGACCATCCCATTCCATTTCTTCTCATCGGAAAAGATCACCTAAACGCAAAAAAATAATAAAACATAAGCGGCTTTCTACCATAGACCAATCCTGTTCATATGAGCCTTGGCGAACTCCAATCGGGCTTTCTTGTGCAAAAGCTTCACGGCCGGTTGCATGTTCAATAATTGTCGATCGATATGTGAATTTTCCGTGACGGCTCGCCAAATTGTCGACTTCGAAGCGTCGATTTTCAGTTCCGTTTTCACTCATTGATCGTTTTTCCGTGGATTTTGTTCACAATTGCGTCTGCTCGCGGCGTAAGCTTTGGTTTTGGTCCTGGCTTCTTCTTTGGTGCAGAAACGAACTCGGACTTTCTATAATTTCGCACGGCAGAGTCGGATCGGCCCAAATTTCTCGCGATTTTCCTTATTGAGTCGCCAATCCTCAAATGGGCATCAATCTGGCCTTTATCATAATCCGTAAGCAGCTTTCCGTGTGCCATTTACCTGGAAATTAACAAAAATTATAAATTTAATAAAAAAATATGCACAACAAAACGAAAAATTTCAAATAACAACAGCAAAGGCGGGTGCGTTTAAGAATTTGAAACGGTTGATTTACCAAAAAGTTTCTATTTTGAAAATTTTTATTTTTTACAGTGTGCTTTTTTTCGGTATTTGGTTTTAAGACATGCTCTTTCTAATAGAAAAAGACTAATAGTTGTAGCGGTGGTTTAAATGCAAAATTCGCTATTTTAGAGGGTGCGTTTAAGAATTTGAAACGCACTGTATTATTCTAATTAAAAACATAAAAGCCCTACGAACGGGTGGCATTTTCTATAAAAAAATTTCATCGATATTTTGGAAAAGTGGAAAAGCAAAAGCAAGACTTTTGCTTGGTACTGTAGATTCTGGAAAAAATGTTGTCGATTAATTTATTATTATATATTGTTCTTGTTCTTGTTTTCTTTTTATCATCTTTCTAGTTATGTTTAAGTTAAAATTTAAAGTAAAATGTTTTTTTAGATCTTTAGTGCCTTTATCACGAGAAATTCAAGTTGAAAAGTTGCGGTTTTTGGAGGAAATAGCCTGGAAAAGTGTTCACCTTATTAACTTTTTTTTGAGTAGACAGAATTTAATGAAACTTTGGATTTTTCTTAGTTGGATAGCATATAAAAATTGGTATTGATTAGATCAGATCAGATCAATTTCTAGAAAATTGATTTGAAAATGAAAGAAAATTGAAGAAAACGTTACCCATGGATCATTGTGTAAAGCATTTTAATTAAAGCATGGTTTGGGTATACTGTAGCTAGGTTATTAAATAGACTTTAGAAAGAAAGATCGTTTAGAAACAAGGAAAACAAAACAACAAGGAAAACAAAAAACTTAGAAAAACTAAAGACTTAGATGTGGTCGATTTTGTTAAACTTGAAACTCAAATCAGAAAATTTATGCGAGTTTTACAAGTGGACAAATGAATAAATTGCCTACTTACCAACTCATAAAAAAAATAACAATATAATATAAATAACAATTCAATAATATAAATAACAATTCAATAACAATAACAATTTTAGTGTAAAATCTAATTTCAATTTGTAACATTTATGTTTCAATTTTATTTTGAAACACTCCCTTTTCCTACTCACACATTTATGCGGTTTATCCAGTCGATTCGACGAACTCGGCTCGTCAATTGCTTTCTTCTTGAAGCAACAACAACCTTTCTCTCTCGGCAAGCAATTCAATATATTCGGAATCTTATTCAACAAGAACATATTATTAAACATTATTATTTAATAGTTGGAATAGTGTTTCAGAAGAATTCTTGGCTTTAATTCTTGGCTTTAAGAGAATTTCCCCGCCCGTTTCGTTCGTTCGCCCACCAAATTTCCACTTTATCGAGTGGAAATTCGATCTTTCTCCCCCTATTTTCTTCTATTACCCACAGAAATTTTCTATTTTCGAGTTCGGAACATTTAAACCAAAAGGGGATTTCCTGAAAAATAGAGTTATTTCACTTTTAGTGGGGATGGAGAACTGTTTTTTCTTTCGTTTACCCTAAAGTCGCGAGTATAAGTTCCGTTTGGTTTTCGCATGCAAATTGACGGCTATCTCCGGTGCGGTGTGTCGACGGTTCGAACCCCGCTGCAGCATAACTTTTTTTGCTTTTTAAGAACAATAATAGAAGTAAATTTATTGAGGGTTATAGCAATTTTATGCTGTTATTTGTTGCTCCGGGCGTGGCTCGGCGCGTCCGCCCTGCTCCTCTCCGGTGCTCAGTCTTATGGATCCCTTCCTGGCCTCTTCATCCGGCCAAAGTCCACGTCGACGGTCGAAAGAGATGCTTTCCAGCGTCTTCTTCAACACTATCGTCTGGATGTATCCATGCACATAACAAATAGCAATGGTGATAGGCTGTCACCCTGTAGTATCCCGCGCTCCAAGAACAATAAAGTTATTGTTATATAAAAGTTTATATAACAATAAAAATGTATAAAAACCCAACAAAAAGAAATTCAAAGCAATTAAAGCGAATGTAAACTAAGGCAGAACTTATACTCGGATGAACATATACTCGAGACTTTAGGGTAATTCACACCAGATGCCTAAAGCGTAATTAATGCTAAATTGAATTACCGTAATTCGTAAGAATTTTTGAAAAACGTAAATTTTATCCTTTATAACATTGCATAAAATGTATGAAATCGTTTTTTGATATTAATTAATGCACCTTGGTACAGTACTGGACAATGAAATATGATATTTGAAAAACGATCGTCACTTTCGCGCGTCTGTAACTCCCTTGTCTTTACCTTATTTCTAAATCTTAATATTACCATTGTGTAGCCCTTGAAAAGAGCTTTCAGAAAATGTATAACACGAATAGTTTAAGCTCAAAGACAAGGGAGTTACAAACCAGACAAAAGCTCAAAATCATTTCAAATTTTAGTCTGCGATGAGACGGCGAAAATCTACGGTAATTTCTTGAATAGCCGCTCTCCACCAACGGCTTTTCTCGGCTCACCGCCGTTCGTCTCCGAGTTGGACACGGAAAGGTTTACACATTGAAATTTTGACTTCGCAATCAGATTTATGCAACTCATTTAACAAGTCCCTGAATGAGCACTAGTTGATCCCTATCCGAGGCCATTTTTGACGTTTTTCTACATACAGTACAATGAAATATGATATTTGAAAAAAACGATCATCACTTTCGCGCGTCTGTAACTCCCTTGTCTTTGAGTTTAAACTATTAGTGTTAAACATTTTCTGAAAGCTCTTTTCAAGGGCTACACAATGGTAATATTAATATTTAGAAATACGGTAAAGACAAGGGAGTTACGATATGTCACATATGACAATAGCCCGCAGTTTTCAACTCACCAATCCAATAGCTTTCACAGTTTTCAGCAAGAATTGTTATCATGTGCTCAGATGCTTAGAAGTTGTATGGAAGAAATTCCATTGTCGTAAGTGTCGCTTTTTTTTGCATTTCAAAGCAAAAACACATCAAAAACATGTTTATTTCGCTGTCTGTACAGGCATTTTCTTTCGACTTTCGTCAATCTAATGACGCACGACACGGGCGGCCTTTCGGCGGTAAGCCTGCTTGGCTGGAGCTTGGTAGTCGCTCGTTTGTGCTCCAGAGACGGCTCCGGTTCTGAATAATATCTTATAAGCTTTGAAACTCGACAAGTTTTTACCTTGGTGGGCATGGACAGTAGGCGGCATCGGGTCCAGGGGTTCCATCAGTTCCAGGTCCTCCTGGTTGTCCGTCGGCTCCGGGCTGTCCTGGGCCTCCGGGTCCTCCCTGGAAATAGGATTTTTTCAAAATGTTATATCATATCGATGTATCAAAGCCATACAGTAATTCAAATGCTCACTTGTGGTCCAGCTGGTCCAGGAGCTCCGGCTGGTCCGGCGTTTCCATTTGGTCCTGGCTGTCCGGCTGGTCCGGGGGGTCCACTTGGGCCGGGTTGTCCAGGTTGAGAGATGTATTTCTTGCCAGGCTGTCCAGCGGGTCCAGGCTGTCCATCTTGTCCAGGTTGTCCATCTGGTCCAGCATCTCCAGCAGGTCCAGCAGGTCCAGGTTGTCCAGATCCACCCTGTTGTCCATCTTGTCCGGGTTGTCCGTCAGGTCCGGCATCTCCAGCAGGTCCATCAGATCCTGGTGGTCCAGGTGGTCCAGCAGGGCAAGTCTGGCATTCGGACGAGCTCTTATCTTGCGAGTACGAGTTTCCGTGGGGTCCTAGATAAAGATTTGAAAGTAAGAATTAAGTATACTGTACTTATTGCCTTATTGCCTAATGCCTAGTTTGATTTTCAAGTAGGCCCACAATTCCACAGTTCCACACTTGTCCAAACCTGCATTTCCGGCTTGTCCTGGCTCTCCATCATGTCCAGGCTCTCCAGCAGGTCCTGGTGGTCCAGGTGGTCCAGCTGGGCATGATGGTGGCTGACTTCCGCACTGGCATTGTCCACCCGAGCGCTTGTGACGGCCAATAAGGAAAGTGGCTTTCTGAAAATCTCTTGTTTCGAATTATTTAAAATCAAAAGCTGTACAGTGTTAAAAATTGGCTTAGTTTTTCGAATTTTGAATTAAATTGTTCAATCCTTTCAGGATTACCTTGTTTCCTTGTTTTCTGATTTTCAAAATCAAAACCATACCTTCGTTTGTCCGGTGATCGCAGCCGATGCTACCATGTGGGTCCAGGCGTTCTCTGAGAAGCCCTGAAAAAGTTGACGGGTTAAAATGTTTCTCATTGTCTTTGTACAAAAGAAATTTCTAAGTTTAAGCGCTATATTTCTCTTTTTCAAACCTTGAACTCATCCAAATCTCTTCTCGTTTCCTCATAGAACTCGTTGATATCATTGTAGATGTACCCGGCTGTAGCCAAAGCGACTGCGATCGCCAACGCGCAACTGCCGGCAGCAAATGTGACAAAAGCCTGGAATGAGAAGTGAATACTAATACGATTGGATACAAATTACGCACAAATTTCCCATGAAGCTATTCCTGAGCTAAAGCTTTGAACTAAAGCTTTGAGTTAAAGCTTTGAGCTAAAGCTTTAAACTAAAGCTTTAAACTAAAGCTTTGAACTAAAGCTTTCCATTAGACAACCAAAATCAGACTTACTATCGAATTTTTTAAAAGTAATAGATTGAAATTTTAAACTAATATTGTAAAATATTGGAAAAAAAAAAGCTTTAACACAGCTTTTTCTATCTAAATGATAGATTTAGACTAGAAGATCTATTTCCTTAATCTATTTCCAAAAAGAAAAGCTCAACAAACCTTAGCTGACATGCTCAGAGTTGTTCGAATAGAAACCTTTGAGCTGACTACTGACTTTTCTGCATTCAAATCACCCTTTTATACCCCTTAAATGGCCTTTTAGAGAGAAGAAAGTTGAGAAGAAATTAGAGAGAAAAAAGAAAAGATTTCATTGTTTCCCCTTTAACACAAAACATTTCTCATCTTCTCCTCACATTCTCCAGTAAAATCAAAAGTTGTTTTCCTTTTTCTGCCCTTGTTTTTCTTTCCTTTTAAAACCTTGGGACTTTTTCTTTCGATTTCTCTCTCATTTTCCTCCCCATTTCGAGATGACCTTGCTTTAGGCTAAGTGACCGATTTCTTCTCTTTTCTTTTCTTTTCTCCAATTTCTTCCGTTTTCCCATTTTCTCTTAGAATATCCATTGTTTCAAAGAGATCCTTGTCCCTTTTATCAAATGCAAAACTTATTGGGAATCTTTTTGAGATTTGAGATTTTTTTTTTTTGAGAAAGATTTCCCTTTTCCAATTTTGACTTAAGCTGGTAGAAATTTTGCCATGTTGATGGCAAAATTTCTATGTTGATGGCGATAGGAGTATCATGAGATTATGGGTGCCACCATGGTGGTGACCATGGTGGCACCCATAATCTCATGATACTCTTATCGAGATGTGATTTTATGAAAAATGAAATTTTAGAGCACAAAATGATCCACTATGACACCTCTAGCCACCAGAGAGGAATCCCGGTTTGAGGATTCTGAGGAATCCCGGTTTGAAAACGTTTTTTTTTATTGGGTAAGTTGAAAGGTAAAAAATGACGATTTTCTGGAAAATGGTAATCGACATGCCCGGGTTTTTTTTGCTAGAAAATACCGCTAATTAAAGTTATTTTAAAGTAACATAAAAGAATATTTACGCTTTGGGAATTAGCAGAATATTTGTGATTGTTTTTGGAGATGATTGAGCAAATCGTCACTTGAGATTCCTAGAAAGTGTGCAGTATGTGGCTCATCGTGGAGGCTTCCATTGCCGTCTCGTAAACGCTGAAACCATTAACGGCACTGATTTTCACTGATACGATTGTATCAGTGAAATCTCTAAAAGCTTTGACAATTGAGCGGTGAGATTCAGCAAGGGTTTTTTTCTTGTTTGAAATCGTAGATCATCTGGCAACTCGAAGTACGAGCTTGTTGTCGTCCATTCTTTTTGCAGTAAAAACCATTAGCGAAGTGAAAAGGGAAATGATTCTAAATCTAATGAATATGTGGTTTATTTTTGTTCAAGACATTACGTAATTCGAAGCGCTCATTATTTTCTTTACACCGTGATATTTTTGTTCAAGACATTACGTGACCTTAGCCAACATTTGTTCAAGACATTAGCCAACACACTTGGCAAATTGCCAGCACCGGGAAATTCGAAGCGCGCATTATTTTATTTACATCGTTATATGATTTATTTGGAAAATTATCAAAACTAAACTACAAACTGTAAAAATTAAACTAACTAAACTAAACTAACTAAACTAAACTAACTAAACTAAACTAAACTAACTAAACTAAACTAACTAAACTAAACTAACTAAACTAAACTAACTAAACTAAACTAACTAAACTAAACTAACTAAACTAAACTAAACTAACTAAACTAAACTAACTAAACTAAACTAACTAAACTAAACTAAACTAAACTAAACTAAACTAACTAAACTAAACTAACTAAACTAAACTAACTAAACTAAACTAACTAAACTAACTAAACTATTAACTGAAACTAACGCGAGTTAGGTTCAGTTAATCCATTTTTATCCTTTACTTGTAGTTCGCATTAAGTTTAGCCAAAGTAAACTTTAATGAATGCAGTCGAAAGTCGGTTTTTTCAAAATTCGAGCCGAATATTACCCAAGAGGAATAAATTTAGCTATTAATATTATATTATTACTTTCAAAGCCAACTCTAGATTCAACTCGTTTGAGTGGTAAAAAGCAATGGACTGATGGTTCTCCAATGGATGGTTATCTGGATGAGAAATTGCATGGAATCACCTCACAAACTTTGTATTTGACCGTACTGTTACTTGTGATCGACTCTATTGGCTTATAGTTAGATTGCAGAACTTTAGAATCGGATTTATGATTTTCGAAGAGCCATTTGATTTGTATAAACTTTTAGATGTGCTACACAGGGCCAATGTTGCGGAAAGGAGTCGATTATCGAACAAGTATCGCAACATTGGTCCTGTGTAGCACATCTAAAAGTTTATACAAATCAAATAGCTCTTCGAAAATCATAAATCCGATTCTAAAGTTCTGCAATCTAACTATAAGCTGTATTTTGTCACTGTCATCAGAACACTGTCATGAGAACACTGTCATCAGAACACTGTCATCAGAACACTGTCATGAGAACACTGTCATGAGAACACTGTCATCAGAACACTGTCATCAGAACACTGTCATGAGAACACTGTCATCAGAACACTGTCATCAGAAGATCCCAAAAAAACGTGGGGATCAAGGAGATTTGTGTGCAAAAAGCCACCAAAAACATTGTATCAGTGATTTTTATGCATTTATTGTAACTTGTGATAACACGTTTGTAATAAAAGAAAAATAAAAAGCTTCTTTCAGATTTGAAAGTGGACACCCAGACATGATGTGGGAAATACAGAGTGGCTAATAACTTATCTACAGGGTGGTTATCTCGGGAACGCATTGACCGTGGCGACCAGATACGCTGTATCCAACTTATCCCAGGCTTTCAACAACGATTTCTTCAAGGAATTATGTGGCTTTGAGCAAGTTTTTGCTTCCAAAACGCTCCAGACAGAGTGAACAAGGAGGTTAGGATCAGGAGAGGTTAAGATCAGGAGAGATCAGGAGAGTTTGGTGGCCATTCGGAAAACTTGATAAATTCGAGGAGATTGTTCACACACCAATCCTAAACTTTACGAGCTTTGCTCGCAGGCGGTGCGCCAGTCTTGCTGAAACGCCCAATGGCGTGCCCCAAAGTGAGAATTTGCCCATGGAAGTAAATCGTTTTTGAGAACATTCAAATTGATCTGATTGAAGACGTCCTGATTGATCTTAACACCAGCATCCACGAAAACAAGTGGCATTTTTCCATCTGATGCTGCAAAAACCATAACCGATTGTGGGTGAGAAACTGGCTGAATTCGAGAATTCGACTTAATGTTCGAATATTTGCGGTTATTCTACTTGTTAAGATACTCTTCAACAGTAAATACCTTTTCACTGAACACGGCATGAAGATGCCAGCTGTTTCCGAAACGTCTCAGCAGGGCTTTTCAGTGTGATAGTTGTTTAACTTGTGTAGCTACCGACAACAATTGGACTTCTTTCTGTAGGCGTTTCTGTTTTTAGGCGTTCAATTTAAGGTCGTTAACAATGATTCTTCGAAGAGACGATCGAACGAAGCCAATTCCTTTCGCCACCACAGAACAACGACCGTTTTTGCGGATTCTGTCCCGAGCTCTTTTGATCGTGCCCTTTAGTTCTGTTCTTAGTTCTGTTCTGACTGTGCATGGTTTGAAAACCATTGTAAAAGAAGGCAATCACGTTGAAAATCGGTTTTTTCTCCTTTATGCAAAAGTTGTTGTATATTTGATTTTGTAATTCTCAAATCTCTAATCTCAAATCCCAATCTCGTAATACTCAAAAAAGTTTACTTTCCCACCGAAAAAGTTGATCTTTATTGACCCAAGGAGAGCCTCGATTACCCCCAAATAGGCCCACTTGACTGAGGAATGATTGGAGCAAAAAAGAAGAAGCACCGGAAATACCCATCACTTATCGAGAGTCGTCCTTTCAGCTCAACAATCACATATAGAAAAGCACATATAGAAAGGCGGAAATTTGTAGCAAAAACTATCATTGAGATTGCTTTTTCGTCTAGCTACTGGCTAGGATTGAAACATGATAATTGTTGACTTAAAAATCCCATTCTGATCACTACTGCTTTCGATTTTTCTGTTTAGTTTTTTCTGTTTAAATTTTTCTAAAACGTTTTCCCGTTTCCCTTCCACTTTCTATCGTAATCTTGTCTCAAATTTTTATCTAATCTATTCACTTTTTGTATCTTTTGATATTCTTTGTGAGTCTTCACAGAATCAGAAAAAGATTACGGAGTAAGATGATGAGTAAGATGAGTAAGATGATAAAGAGGGAGTGTTGAGTAAAAGTAAAAGTTGAAAGTAAACTGAAATTGCGTTTAAAAGCTAGGAAATTGAACACTAAACACTTTTTTAAATTTTGAGAAAACTATAGACTGATTGGTGAAGTTGTTATTTTTAAACAAAAGTATTTTTATTTTTAAACAAAAGTATGAAAAGGACCGCAAAGACTTATGCAAAAATGTAATAAAATTTCAAATCTCTTAATGCTCAAAAAAAGTTTGCTTTCCTATTCATTTCCAGTGAGTCATGCTCATTTCATTTTTTTAAAATTTTAAACATGTGTTTATACTGAACGGATTCAAAGAAACAACGAGAAACACAACAATTTATTGTTAAACAAATTTAAGCCTTCACGGCATATTTCCGGATGGGGAATGCCTGTTGTCTCGCTTTTTGTTTGTCGGTCTTCAATGACAATTTCGGGTTTCGTCAGGGCTCTTCTCGGGGCACGAGTCTTTCGGTAGCGCAAATCGAGTGGCTTGTACTTCTTGCCTTGGTAAAGTTTCCTGAGCTCAGACTTTTGTGTTTGATTGTAGACGGTCAGAACACGAGCGATGTTCTTTCTGACTGTGCGAATCTTCGACAACTTGGATGCGGCTCCTCCGGTGACTTTGGATACCCTGAGTGAAGCGAGCTCGGTCTTTTGCTCCTCGAGTTGCTTGTTGAAATCCTCTCTCTTTTTCCCATGGAGATCCTTGGTCTTAAGCTTGGCCATATCTCAAACTTGGGTAATTAAATTCATTATTTTTATTTTTAAACAAAAGTATGAAAAGAACCGCAAAGACTTATGCAAAAATGTAATAAAATTTCAAATCTAAGAGAATCTAAGAGAAGATGCTCAAAAAAAGTTTGCTTTCCTATCCATTTTCAGTGAGTGATGCTCATTTCATTTTTTAAAATTTCAGCATTATTCATTTTATTTTCAGCATCATTCATTTTAAAGAAATCCATTATTTTAAGAATGTGCATTATCTTTCTTTGAAAATCTATGCCTAAAAAAAGCCTCTCTTTTCCTGATCAACTCATCCTTTCAACAAACAATAACTTTTCGAGTGCTTTCCTTTTACTCAAACAATTCACCCATCGATAAACATTGTAATTTTTGATTTTTTCATATACAGTCGAACCTCTCTATAACGAACCTCGATATAACGTAAACCTCTCTATAACGTAAGACGTGACCGGTCCCGGCCGACGTTAAGCTATATAAAACGGCACTCTATATAACGTAAACCTCTATATAACGTAAGCTATAGCCGTCCCGTGAGTTACGTTATAGAGAGGTTCCACTGTATTTTGATTTGTTTTTGATTAAAAGCCAAGAAGAATTTTATTGATTTAAAGCTAAATTTTGAATTTTTATTTATTTTTAGCATCTATCATTCACTTAAAGAAATCCAATTATCTTAATTTCTTCGACTAAACTAAAAGAAATACTCATTACTAATTGTATCTTATATAAAATATAGGATATAATATCTTAAAATATACATCATAACCTTACTAAAATTCCTTAAACACATTGAAACATTGATTTGAATTTGTTCAAAAACTTTTTATTTAATTATTTCAGCTTTTCAAGAATCGATTGGATTTATTTGTGGCATTTGATGCATTTGTAAATGCATCAAATGTTACCTTTGTAAAGGCAATTGTTCTGGCCAAATCCTGGCTACACCCATGCATTCAGTCACTCAACAACAAGCTAAAGTTATTTTAAAATCAAGACAAATATGTTTTACTTAGGAAGAGAGGATTGTTTAGTGCTATCCAATTAATTATTGGGTTGTTAAATGGGTAGGCTGTTAGCTGCTAGCTGCTAGCTGCTTAGCTGGATTTTTATCTATAAGTTATTGGGTTGGTGAATTGAAGACTGCGGGCTATTGTCAGTTTTGTTTGACAGTTTGAGCACTTTCTTCAAAAGAAACCCATTTTGGTGTCAATGGAAAAGTTGTAGAGAATCAAAAATCAAGCTTATATCCAAATTTTCAGAACGATTCAAAAACTGGTTTTCAAGAAATGCCAAATTTGAATTTTCACAAAACTTGCATTTTAAGCGAAACTACTAAGTGTATCTTTTTGGAAATTTGGATATAAGCTTGATTTTTGATTCTCTACAACTTTGACACCAAAATGGGTTTCTTTTGAAGAAAGTGCTCAAACTGGGACATCTCTAGTCCTCCATTTTTGAGTCTCACACTTGTCTCACACACAAACCAAAATCCTACTACGAAAGAGGAATCCGCAAATTGCCTGTAAAATGGGCAGAAGTCGTCAATAATAATGGAAATTATTTGGAATGAATTCATGGTTTTATGTTGAATAAATTTTAGTTCAAAGTCCCGCAGTTTTCAATTCACCAACCCAATAGTAGTGCACCCCGGTGTACTGGGAGTTGCTGGATAGCAAGACGACCCTTAATGCAATCAAATACAGTGAACAGTTGGAAAAGGTGAATGAGTCCCTGAAGAAGAATAGGCCCTCCAAGTCAAAGATCGTTCTCATCCACGACAACGCGCGCCCTCATATTGCAAAACTGACTCGCTCTAAAATAAATAGCCTTGTTTGGGAACTTTTGTCGCATCCCCTTACAGTCCGGGCCTCGCCCCCTTTGATTACTATTTATTCCGGATCATGGGTAATGAGCTTGCGGGAGAACACTTCGATTCGGAAGAAGCAGTCAAAAATTGGCTTTGAAAGTTTTTCGATTCAAAACCAAAATCCTACTACGAAAGAGGAATCCGCAAATAGCCTGTAAAATGGGCAGAAGTCGTCAATAATAATGGAAATAATAATGGAAATTATTTCGAATGAATTGATGGTTTTATGTTGAATAAATTTTAGTTCAAAGTCCCGCAGTTTTCAATTCACCAACCCAATATATGCTTTATTCAGGGGGCAAATAGAAGCGAATCAGATAGTCATAACCGCATATAACATATTGCTACAATACTTTCACAAAAAAGAAAGAAAACTAAAAATAGAACAGTAAGATTAAAGTTAGGAAACACAAAGTACAAAAAGATTAAATCTAGAGCAGATTTGACATGGCAATAAGAACCCAATTCGTTTACAGAAACTTTCAATTTTCCTACAGACGAGAAGATACCTTATCTTTTTGATTAAAGTCATCAGTTTAGTTGAAAACTTACCACTAACTGCAACTTACCACTAAGTCAAAGATTCAAATGTTTGATTTCTCTCGATAATTTGCTAATTTTTAAGCAATTCTTTGATAATCTTTAATCTTTAATCTTTAATCTTTAATCTTTAATCTTTATTCATTGTTTCAAAAAGTTTTTCCCAAAAAAAAGATTGAAACGAAAATTGTAAAACTATCCTTTTCTTTTTAAAATTTCGCACATGAATGGTTTGAATTGGGGTCTCTTTTTTGAAATCAGTCGATGGATGAGCAAAAAGGGAAAAGATGGGAAGCAAACAGTGGAAATAATATGTTTGTGGGGATCGAGGGGAAAGGAATCGCTTGAATAGGGGAAATAGGAGAAAAGATAGGGGAAAAAGGAAGAAGGAATTCGATTCATCATTGAAAGAATGGGAAGAGAGAGAAAGAGTGAGAAAGAGAGAGAGAGAGAGAGAGAGAGAGAGAGAGAGAGAAAAAGAAAGAAACGCGCACCCCGTGAAAATCCCTCTGAAAAAAGGGCAGTGACCATCCCGAAAACAGTTCTGTTTCAAATCATCGTTTGTTTGTTTACGAGCCGTTTACCTATCATTTTTTCAATTCTTGATGATATTCTTGGAGATATTCTAACAATTGTATACCTTGATTTCATTTTTCATTCAATTTTTCCCTTTGTATTCCAGATTTTGAAAGTCTTCTTCTCGCATTTTATCAATTTTAAAGTTCAAAGTTAATTTTACTTTTAAAATTATACAATTTGACTGTTGTACAATTTTAAAAGTGCAGTTAAAAGTTAAAAAGGTTAAGAAGAAAAGTTCTATGACTTCTATGACTTCTATGCAGCTCTATGCAATGCTTTTAAGATAAACAGATAGCTAAAACTTTGTGTTTTCTCTAGGCAATTGTAACAATGTAAGGATTTCAAGTCGGGCTGACGGTTGAATGAAAAAAGAATAGAGAAAAAGAAACGCGTATCTCATGAAAATCCATTTCCCCAAAAACACTTCTGTTTTCAATTCGTTATGTTTTTTTCAATTCAAATCGTTTATGTTTGTTTGTTTGTTTGTTTGTTTGTTTGTTTATTTGTTTGTTTATTTGTTTGTTTGTTTGTTTATTTGTTTGTTTGTTTGTTTGTTTGTTTGTTTGTTTGTTTGTTTGTTTGGCGCATTGGCTGTGTTTGTGTGTTTGTTTGTTTGTTTGTTTGTTTGTTTGTTTGTTTGCTTTTTGGTCTGTTTGTTTGTTTGTTTGTTTGTTTGTTTGTTTGTTTGTTTGTTTGTTTGTTTGTTTGTTTGTTTGTTTGTTTGTTTGTTTATTTGTTTGTTTGTTTGTTTGTTTGTTTGTTTGTTTGTTTGTTTGTTTGTTTGTTTGTTTATTTGTTTGTTTGTTTGTTTGTTTGTTTGTTTGTTTGTTTGTTTGTTTGTTTGTTTATTTGTTTGTTTGTTTGTTTATTTGTTTGTTTGTTTGTTTGTTTATTTGTTTGTTTGTTTGTTTGTTTGTTTCCAAATGTTTAATTTCTATCTATGCAATTGTTGCAATCTTTTTAACAGTGTTAACACTTTCCATTGCATCATTGTCTGCATTAGTTCTGAAATTTTACTATTCTTAAGAGATCCAAGCATGAAAAAAAAAGTTCTATACTAATCTAGGCTTAAAATCGTTTTAATTAAACCAATATAGATGTTTTAATTAAACTAATAACCAATAAATCCCCAAAAAAAGTTTTCAACCGTTATGCGTTGATTTATAAGCCTATCTATGAGATTGTTTCAATGTTTAATGCAATACTTTAACAAACACTTCACTTGATTGATATTCAGACACTTTTTCTCTATTTTCATTTGTTTAAAAAGAACCACAAGTGTTTTTCGATTATTAAAAGATCTACACTTGGTCAGTCGCTTCTCAAATTCGTTCACTCTTTTCATATAAACAATTATTGCTTTAAACTTTACGTTTTGGATTCATATTACTTTTTAACTTTAATATTACAAGTTTCAAGATCAAATCCTAAGCCATTCTTTATCATTCATTCTTTTTTGGTGACCAATTCTTTTTCAAATTCGAATTAATCACCAAAAAAGTTGGTTAACATGTTTCAAATTTTACCGACTTCAATGGATCTTAGTTTCATTTAATGAGGCGATGATGATCCTGAACCCAGACACTCGTAGACAAATTTTTATCATAAAACTGATCCACGAAAGGAATATTTGATTATTAGGTCGACGGATTTTGAATGCGTGAAATTACCCGAAATCGTTTCTAATTTATCTAATAGGTTGATGCATAAGTGTTTTTGTTCCTTTTCGTCTGCCGTTTCAAGCCAACAAATGCACCAATTAAACTACGGTTGATTTCATTAGAAAAACCAATTATTTTTCTGCAAAATAACATTAAAACGGGTTTAAAAATATTGAATGCCTGGATTTTCTTGAGAGTATGAAGTCGGGTAGTCAAAAAGGGCTAACTCGATGATGCGGTTTAGACGCCTTAGCTAAAGAAAACCTATCTTCGTGTCAATAGATAAAAGATAGAGAAAAAAAACGTTTGATATTTCGCCAAAATTTCAGAGAAATTCATTCAGCCAATTTTTCCGTAGAGTTTTTTATAGATTTTTACGAAAAAGGCGTTTTTCACTCTCGAATTTGCTTCAAAGTGAACCGAAATTCATTTTAAAAGATGCAAATTGAACAAAAAAACACTTTTTTTATAGAGCAAACTATAGATTAATCGGTGAATTTGTTACTTTTTAACAGAAGTACGAAAAAAACGAAAAGACTTATGCATCAACCTAATAATTTATCTAGCTCAGCCAAAATCAAACGAATCTCTCTGATTTTTTCATGTAAATTTAGACTAGGTTTCCTGTAGCAGTGCCTAATATTAAGTCGATTGGAGTACACATAAACACATCATTTTTATATAGGTTTTCAAAGTTGAGAGTTTGCACGCAACACGTCTTAGAGGTTTTTCGAAAAGTTGATTTTTTGGCTTAGGATGGGAACCGAATAGGAGCCGAATAGGAACTGAATTGGAACCGAATGGGAGCCGAGTAGGAACTGAATTGGAATTGAATAGGAACTGAATGGGAATCGAATAGGAATTGAATAAGAACTGAATGGGAGCCGAGTAGGAACTGAATTGGAACTGAATGGGAATCGAATGGGAATCAAATGGCTAAATCAGATGAGACTTTCATTACTTTTGAATAAATGACATAAAATCCTAAAAGTGGCAACCAGGCGCTTTAAAAGGATGCCAATTAGTTTTTCAAATCCTGATTTCCAAAGGAACTTTAAACTTTAGCATTTAAGATCTCAGAATCAAGTCGGTTTTATCTTCACTACTCGTCATTCTTCAAACTTAAAGCTAATTTTTCATGACGAGTTTTTCATTAACACTTTTCTTGCAAGAAAAAATTGAATTTGGGATGTTTGGAGCAAGTTTGGCGTTTGTAATCCCAAAAGTCATTGCGTGCCAACGAAAGCGTGACTCTCAACTTTGAGAGCCTATATAAAAATTGTGTGTACTCCAATCGACTTAATATTAGGCGCTGCGACAGGAAACCTAGTCAAAATTTGCATGAAAAATTCAGAGGGATTCGTTTGATGTTGGTTGAGCTAGACAAATTGGAAACGATTTCGGGTAATTACCTAACCGCTTTTTGCTTTGACCATCTGATTTAGATTTGATCAGATGACCATCTGATATCATCTGATTTAGCCATTCGATTCCCATTCAGTTCCTATTCGATTCCCATCCAGTTCCCATTCAGTTCCTATTCGGCTCCCATTCGGTTTCCATTCAGTTCCTATTCAATTCCTATTCGGCTCCTAAGCCAAAAAATCAACTTTTCGAAAAACTTCTAAGACGTGTTGCGTGCAAACTCTCAACTTTGAAAACCTATATAAAAATTTTGTGTTTATGTGTACTCCAATCGACTTAATACTAGGCGCTGCTACAGGAAACCTAGTCTAAATTTACATGAAAAAATCAGAGAGATTCGTTTGATTTTGGCTGAGCTAGATAAATTAGAAACGATTTCGGGTAATTACCTAACCGCTTTTTGCTTTAACAAGCCTAAATTTGAAACTAATCTTCACTGAAATTGTATCTAGGTAAAAGGGTTTTAAATTCTATGCAAATTGATTCAATTGATTGATTGATTGATTCAAATTTCTTTTTTATCATTGAAATGCTCTTTTTTTCAAGAATAAATTCCATAAAATGTGGCTAACTTGTGACACAAATAAATGAAAAGAAATGGGGAAAAAAAGAAGAAGAGAAAAAAAGAAGAAAAGAAGAAAAGAAAAACGCGATTTTAACAACTGACTCTCTCCCCTTTTCTCTCTTTCTTTTGACTTAAATTCAAATCAAATTTTATGTTTTTCTGTTTATTTTCAATCATTTTCAATCATTTTGTTATAATTTTTCTGGAATTTCCTTGAATTCTGACAATTCTCGCAAGTTTTTTCGACTTTAACACTAAACTATTGGGTTGATGCATAATTATCCGGACTTCTTTTAGTTTATTTAACAAAAAACATTGTTGAAATTGTTTATGTTTTCTGGCATATTCACCGCCTACACAATAACTGTTGCCATTTGCTTGGAAGACGTCGTTCCACGAGCGAAGAATAAACGTCTTGGGGCAATCCACGCTTTAACATCGTCTTCAGTCACCAAATCGTTGTAGATCTTATTTGTTTGCCAATTTTTGAGCGATCGATTGACGTGGTAGTCCGTTGGGGCTTCTCCAGTTCTTTGAGATCGCGAAACGACTCTGCGGCAGACCATCCCTTTTCGAAGTGGTAGAGCATGATATGGCGAAGATGGATATGATTGTCGACCGCATTTTGTTCACTAAAGATAACGAATATTTAAAAAAGAAATAGACAAAGCTTTCAAAACAAAAAAGATACAAGCACGCAAAAAGAAGTCCGGATAATTATGCATCAACCCAATAGTTAAAAGCCAATAAGGTTTACCAAATTTAAGCGAAATAATGAAAATTTTGATAGAAAATGAATATTTTAAACGTTTAAACGATATTTCTTGATTGTATAGATTGAAAAAAGCTAATTTTTCTAATTGAAGGGCTTTCCCGTTTTTTATTTTCTTTCAATTTTCTTTTGATTTCCTCGTTTAAGTGATTTCTTGATTTGAATTTTATCATTTCTTTTTCTTTCTTTCTTTCTTTTACTTTCTCTTTTCATTCCTTTTTTCTCTTTTACTACCATCTCATGGAAACAAATTAGCCTAACAAGTTTTTGATTTATTGGGTTCGTGAATTGAAAACTGCGGAACTTTGAACTAAAATTTATTCAACATAAAACCATCAATTGATTCGAAATGATTTCCATTATTATTGACGACTTCTGCCCATTTTACAGGCAATTTGCTTCCTCTTTCGTAGTAGGATTTTGGTTTGTGTGTGAGACAAGTGTGAGACTCAAAAATCGAAGACTGGAGATGTCCCAGTTTGAGCATTTGAGCACTTTCTTCAAAAGAAACCCATTTTGGTGTCAATAGAAAAGTTGTAGAGAATCAAAAATTAAGCTTATAGCCAAATTTCCAAAAAGATACACTTAGTAGTTTCGCTTAAAATGCAAGTTTTGTGAAAGTTTCGTAAATTTGGCATTTCTTGAAAACCAGTTTTTGAATCGTTCTGAAAATTTGGATATAAGCTTGATTTTTGATTCTCTACAACTTTTCCATTGACACCAAAATGGGTTTCTTTTGAAGAAAGTGCTCAAACTGTCACATATGACAATAGCCCGCAGTTTTCAATTCACCAATCCAATAATTTATAGATAAAAACCCAGTTAAGCAGCTTCTAAAGACGATTTTTAATGATCCTTCATTGTTGTTTTCATCAAAAACTCATTTATCTTTAAAATTGTGTTTAAAAAAAAAGGAAAGTTTTTACCAAATTTAAGCATTCAACTGAAACTTTTGAATAGAAAATGAATATTTTAATAAAAAAAAACTTCTTTAAAAGATTCAATGCATAAATAAAGCAATTTTGTTGTTGTTATGTTTTCAATATTTCTTTCTTTTTGTCTTTTTGTCTTTTTGTCTTTTTGTCTTTTTTCAGATGCACTTTTCCACGTTGTTGTTTAAAAAGGAAAAAGCTCGTTTTACTCGAAAACGGGAGTGAAGAGAGATTGAGAAAATACGAATTTTTCTCTTCCAGCTGAAATTTAAAGTTTTTTTTTGGAACTTCTATATATTTCAACCGTTTTTTGTATTCAAATCGGGTCGAAGAAGCTTTTTTTATTCAGCTTTTTATTATTCAGCTTGATTTTGCTTTAAATTAAATTGCTCAGATTTAAATTTAGCTTAACAATCTCCACTAAGTGAAGCCAATTCATTAAATTTGAATGAACAACATTTGTTCTGTTTATTTTTCCTATTCCTTATACTTGTTAAACATTTGTGAATCTGTTTTTAGCCTTTTTAAGTTTATTTTGGTGCTTAAAAAGTGAAAACACGAGAATTTCAATTAAAATAATACCTCTTTACCTTATTTTTCTATATTTTTCTATATTTTGCTATATTTTCTACCCATTATTAACCAGAAATTCTTTTCAGAGCCTAAAAGCTTCCTTGAAAAATGGTTTTCATCGAGACTTTCCTCGGGATGGCCCGCTATTTATCGCCACGAAATGATGATGATTGGTCGGATCGAATGCACTATTTATATACGCCGAATATTCTCTTGGCTTTCTCGATTTTGGTCTCGTTTAAGCAATTCGGTGGACGACCGTTGGAGTGCATGTTTCCGAATAAATTCCCCGGATCTTGGGAACAGGTGCGAGGCTCAGGCTTAGGCTTTCCTAAGCCCATTGGCAAATTTTTCACTTTAAAACTTTAATTTCTAAAACTTTAACTTTAAAATCAAAATGCTGATCGATTAAGGCAAAAAAAAAACTGACTTTCAGGTGAATTCAATTGAAAAATGAGATTTCTTCTCGTAATTTCTTCTTCCAAACTTTTCTAAGAACTATTTTCAACGATTACCGTATTTTCTCTAATAGCAGTGCACCCGGGTGAGCCGAGTTTGTGACTATTTTACGGTTTCCAAGCTTTTGCAGAAGCTCAACACTCAAATCCCCCACTAGATCTCATCGCCAGCTACATTTTTCGACCTCACATCGATAGGTTCTGATAAGCGGTTTGCGAGATTTCGAGGAATTTAGGCGACGCTCTGAGTGCACTATTATTAGAGAAAATACGGTATTATGTTGACAAGAAAGTTTGTATAAAGTAGAAAGTTTGTAGATAAAGTTTGCACGGTGATTTCTCAAAAACCAAGCCATCAATTCTTCCCACATTTTTTTGTGAGACTTAACTATATTTCAAAAAGTTTTTGACAAAAAAACAGAGTGAGATTCAGGTAAAAAAAAAAGAGATTTCCTCGGGTGAAGTGACTTGGTCACTTTTTGAGTGACTAGCATTAATATACATCAACAAAAATTGGTAAAAACTATTCTAAAAGATAGAGCTTTGTTCAAAACGTGTCAAAAAAAAAAGTGTTTAAAAGTGAAACTATTTCCTTACCCGGATCCCATAGGATCTCCCAAAAAAAAAAATTTTTTTAATTTATTTAAAAATTTTTTTGAAAACTATGTTTCCGATTTTACTGCCAAAGCTAAAGCTGTTTAAAAATGAATAGAAAAGCAGAAAATTAAGAAAACATTAACAGAAAATTAACAGAAAAGCAGAAAATTTGAAAATTTAAATCTAAAGAAAGGAAAAAAACTTCTAGCTGGAACAAAATCTCTCATTCTAGTTAAAAAAAAAGTTTGAAAAGGTCCCTATTTTATTAAGTCTTCTATGGAAATAGTTACGGTAATTAGAAGCATTAAATGGTTTAAAATTGATTGAATCAAAATATGCAAAAGAAATGGATGAAATTTCAGTACGCGGAGAACTTTTGCTGGTCCCAGGACACGTATTTCGTCGAACCCGACAAACACGTTGAAGCGATGGTCCAAGAAGAAAGGTTTACATCTGTATTTTATTGATGAGGAATGTAAAAAAAGCAAGTAAATACTCTAATAGAAAGTAGTATTAGAGTGAAGAAGCTATTAGAGTATTTGCTTGTAGAGTATAGAAGCTATTAGAGTATAGAAACTACTAGAGTATAGAAGCTATTAGAGTATAGAAGCTATTAGAGTATAGAAACTGTTAGAGTAGAGAAACTATTAGAGTATAGAAACTACTAGAGTATAAAAACTATTAGAGAATTTACTTGTAGAGAAACTATTAGAGTATTTGCTTGTAGAGAAAGTATTAGGGTATAGAAACTATTAGATTATTTACTTGTAAAGAAACTATTACAGTATTTACTTGTATAGAAACTATTAGAGCATAGAAACTATTAGAGTATATGAATACCATTTACTAGATCTAGATCTAGTATCTATCCCTAGACTAGATGAATACATTTCTCAATCCCATCAATCCCATCTATCATCAAGTTTAAACCCCGTCTATTTATCAAGAGCTGAAAAATTGAAACCCAACTTTAACCTTGACTTTATAAAATGAAAGCTCAAAAATGAAGTACTATGACAAATTTTGAAGAGTTAATGGGTTTTTTGCAAATTCCAAATTCAATTTTCAGAACAGCCGCTCATCGCCAGCTCTCCTATTATCAATGGGTTCCTTTCTTTCTTCTACTCCAAGCTGCCTTTTTTCGAGCTCCAAGTCTCCTATGGAAATATTTCTCGAATCATTCAGGTGAGCTTAAAAATATAACTTTCAAGTAAACCAAAATTCTCCATAGCATTTGTATTTCTAATACCTCGAAGCAACTATTTAAAATCAACTAACAACTATCTACCGTAAATCCCGTAATAGTACCCCACCCCCCTCGTACAGTCGCGTAGTCGCAAAAGTTTTTTCGTATTTCATTTTTTCCAAAGCGCCCGTACTTTCAAAAAATGCGTCTTTGGTATCAAAAAATAGCTGAAATTCAGGGCTATTTTTTGATACCAAAGCGCGCATTGTAGCATAAACCAGTGTCGAGAAACACTCGTTCAAAGCTAGACTACGCAACACTCCGCACCGTCATTATGGGGGTGGGGTCCAATTACAGTATTTACGGTAGGCAAAACCTAAGCCTAAACCTAACAAGAGGTAAAGTTTCAAGATTAACAGTGTCAGCCTGAAAAGTGGGATCGTAATGGGGTCAAGCTGTAGCCAAGTTATCAAACAAATTCTTGGAATTCTAGCTCGTTTCTAGGAATCCGAATTCATGAGGTTGTTGAAAAAGCTCAAGATGCGGCGAATGTCGACGAGAATATTCGGGAACAAAATGTCAATTTACTCGAAAAGCATCTCAAGAAAGCGCTCAGATTTCAGAGGAGAATGGAAAAGAAAAAAGTGGGTGAGCATGGGGAACAAGTCTAAATTGGACAAAACTACAAATCTGGATCTTGTCTGGAGCTTATCCAGCTTCATTTTATAATACCAGTTTTAAGTTTACTTGAAAAAGTTGAAACTTTCTATTTTCAAAGAATAAAATTGAAGTTTTAAAGTCAAAGGCTTTCAAAATTGAATATTATATAGCTTAAACTTTTTATAGATTGAATAAAGAACACTTCAGAGGTTGAATAGAGAACACATTTCAAGATTAACAGTGTCAATTTCAAATGATAATAAATAGAGTTTGATTAGATTATTCAATTCCATAAAAATCAAGAGACAAAAGGTCAAGTTGATTGATTTTCACAAGACTGAAGAACCCAATCGAGCTTTATTCTTTATTCTATCTTTATTCTCTATTCTTTATTCTATCCCAAAGCCTAAAGCTTTTTCTTTAAAGCTATATAAAAGTTAATAATATAATCTCGAAAAGAAAATCATCGACTCCCAAAGAGAACTCTTTATTTAACTCTTTATTTATCTCTTTATTTAGCTCTTTATTTAGCTCTTTATTTAGCTCTTTATTTAGCTCTTTATTTAGCTCTTTATTTAGCTCTTTATTTAGCTCTTTATTTATCTCTTTATTTAAAAGTCGCCTTTTACAGAGTGAAGTCTAAATTTTAAACTCCAGGTTGTCATCCATCAAACAGTCGCTTGCTTGAATTTTCAATACTCGGCAAGTTTCATCTCTTCAATCTACATGATCACAAAAGTGATCTATTTGGCGAATGTCATACTTCAGTTGTGGTTGATGAATTAGTGAGTGTAAAAATTATGGCGACAACTTTTTAAGAGTACAGTTTTTCCCAAAAAAAAAACTTTCCATCCCAAGTACCAGTATTATAGTATTCGAAAGCGGAAAATCTCAGCTACCGTAAATGCTGTATTAGAATGAATTTTGGAAGATTTTTGAATACCGCCTCCGGGTGTCATTCTAATAAAGCATTTGCGGTCTGTGTTTTCTGTGTTTTCACAAAAAAAAATTATAAAACAATCTACCGTAAATGCTGTATTAGAATGACATGTGATTCTAATACAGCATTTACGGTAGATTATTGTGGTTGTGATTCTATTTTTCAATACCCCCTCCGAGTGTCATTCTATTTGACCGCAAATGCTGTATTAGAATGACACCCTCAAATAGAATGATACCCGTAGGTATCATTCTATTTGAATGATACCTACGGGTATCATTCAAAAAAATTTTTTTTTTTTCCTTCTTTTTTCCCATCCTATCCTATCCTATTCTATTTCTATTCAAATCGTTTATCATTCTATTCTATTCTATTCTATTCTAATTCAAAAAATAGAATCACATGTCATCCTAATACAGCATTTACAGTAGATTATTTTTATAATTGTTTTTTGTTTTTTTTGTGAAAACACAGTTTTAAGTTATAAAAGCTGGGTTTTTCTTGATTTTTTCAGCTAAAAAGACTGTTCTCTTCAAAAGTTGTCGCTATAATATTGGACCGTCTTGTAAAGCTGCAGAATAGAAAATTGATTACGATAAGTATACTGATAGGAAGATTCTCCATGGATTTTCCATCCACGTTTTCCATTCCATTCCATTCTCCTCATCCACGGAGAATGTTCCTTTCTATCGTAATCAATTTGATTACGATAGGAATCTAATAGGAACATTGGACATTGGACATCCATGGACTCCTCATCTATGGAGAATGTTCCTTCCTATCGTAATCAATTTGATTACGATAGGAATCTAATAGGAACATTGGACATTGGACATCCATGGACTCCTCATCTATGGAGAATCTTCCTTCCTATCGTAATCAATTTGATTACGATAGGAATCTAATAGGAACATTGGACATTGGACATCCATGGATCCATCTATGGAGAATGTTCCTTTCTATCGTAATCAATTTGATAATATCAATTTCATTACGATAGAAATCTAATAGGAACATTCTCCACTATTGATAGTTTCCAGTTTTCTACGCACCGATCGCTATGGTTGGTATGGGATCGATGTTCTTTATGATATAATCAAAGGAGTTAAATGGGAGACAAGTGGCTTCTTCCCGAGGTCATCCGTTTGCGATTTCACGGTTCGTATTTCAAAGTTTGCAGTTTGCAGTTTGCAATGCCGAAAAGAATTCTCGTACAGAATTTCATTGAAATTCATTGTCAATTGTTTCAAAAAGTCAATAATTCTTTAAGTCTTTCTTTTAACGGAATAAGTCAATTCTTTAAATGCTATAAATTGCACTTTATGCTAATCATCCCGTTTTTCCGAATCTTTCGTGTAGGGTTGAAACATCAAGGGTAATCTTGATGTTTCAACATGAACCCTTACATATTTAACAAATTCACGACGATACGACCCACCGGCCGTACTAATGACAATTATTTTTAGTGTTAACTCGTTTTTAAGGCTTTTTTTTTATTCATTTCGCAGAAAGTTCTCGGTAACTTTGTACTAGTTTTCAAGAGGAGATTTAAAGCTATCATCTATTTAATCTATCATCTATCTATCATCTATCTCTCTATCTATCATCATCTATCTATCATCTATCTATCTCTCTATCTATCATCATCTATCTATCATCTATCTATCTCTCTATCTATCATCATCTATCTATCATCTATCTATCTCTCTATCTATCATCATCTATCTATCATCTATCTATCTCTCTATCTATCATCATCTATCTATCATCTATCTATCTCTCTATCTATCATCATCTATCTATCATCTATGTATCTCTCTATCTATCATCATCTATCTATCATCTATCTCTCTATCTATCATCTATCTATCATCTATCTATCTCTCTATCTATCTCTCTATCTATCTATCATCTATCTCTCTATCTATCTATCATCTATCATCTATCTATCTCTCTATCTATCATCATCTATCTATCATCTATCTATCATCTATCATCTATCAGCTATTTAAAGCTATCGAATCACTAGAATAGTTGAGTTTCTTTTTGAATTTAAACCAAAATTTCCGACAAAATATAAACAGTTAACGACTACGCGACTGTACGTCCAAAGTGGCGTCAAAAAGCACTTGTGACTTTCAAAATTTTCGAATTTCATTCTCAGGTGCGCCAACTCGCGAACATTCAAAAATACTCAGTACAATGCGTGCTGGTGATCAACATTTTCAACGAGAAAATCTTCATTCTCATGTGGTTTTGGTGAGTGTCATCGTTTCTTTTTTGAAATCAAAATGAAATTAGGAAACCTAATTTTATTTGATCTAAAAAGTTCATTAAGTTTCTGCAAAATGGCTGCGAAGAAAAGTTTGAGTCTCAAAATTATTCAAACACAATTCCCGAGTGATTTTTGAATAATTTTGAGACTCAAACTTTTCTTCTACATCTTAGAAAATAATTAGAAAATTTGTTTTTCTTGAAAGCAAAGAACTATTCAAAAAAAGATGAACTGAAATTTCAGAAATGTTCAGGTATCTGCTCCTCCTCGCCTCATCTCTCTTTTCCGTTGTTTATTGGGTGATTCTCATCTCGTGTCCGTGTTTTTCTCGTTGGTTCATCGGGCAACACCTCGAATTGAGCTCTCTCGGCGGATTCACAACCAGGAATAAAAGTTGCTTTGTTTTAAAATTTAAAAGTTTAAAAAAAAGGGTTTTTTTGAAAGCAAAGAACTATTTGTATAGTTTGAAAAAACATTTAACATTTAATGGCTTTTCTAGAGCTTCAGAGGCACTAGTCAACTCGCAGATGTTTTACTCATTCAAATTCAATCTATTTAAAGCAATCTTTTAATAAGATAGAGCTGACAAAGCTTGACAAAAAGCTTGACACAAAAAAAAAAGTTGTGCCTCGTTTCCGTTTAGTGTTTTATAGTTCTATTATTTTTTAAAACAACTACTTAATCTTAAAAATCGAATAATTCAGAATGTCGGGATGATGTTTTCAAATTTGTGCACGGCTACCTGCATCGTGATGGGGTTTTCGTCTTGAGAATGGTTGGTTTTAAGTAAAAAAAATACGCATTAAAAGTCAACTAAAAGGTAGTTAAAGAGTTAAAGTTAAAGAGTTAGAGTTAAAGAGTTAAAGTTAAAGAGTTAAAGTTAAACAGATAAAGTTAAAGAATTAAAGTTAAAGAGAAGTTAAAGAGTTAAAGATAAAGAGATAAAGTTAAAGAGCTAAAGTTAAAGTTAAAGTTTAATCTAAAGTTAAAGAGTTAAACTAAAGATTCCATTGAAAAAGATGTTTGAAAAATTTTGAAAAGAAATCAAACAAATAAAACTCATTTTTGTAGAGAAATGTTTAACAAAAAAAGCTTTTTTTAGGTTTCCCTCCACGCTGGCATCATTTTCACGACAGATCTCGTCTTAGCATTGTGGAAAGAATTCTATGGGATTGAGCAAAAGGTTTGAATAAAAGTACTTTTCAAGTTTGTTGATAAGTTTATCTATTGGGTTGGTGAATTGAAAACTGCTGGACTTTGAACTAAAATTTATTCAACATAAAACCATCAATTCATTCCAAATAATCTCCATTATTATTGACGACTTCTGCCGATTTTACAGGCAATTCGCGGATTCCTCTTTCGTAGTAGGATTTTGGTTTTGAATCGAAAAACTTTCAAAGCCAATTTTTGACTGCTTCTTCCGAATCGAAGTGTTCTCCCGCAAGCTGTCCTTACTCATGATCCGGAATAAATAGTAATCAAAGGGGGCGAGGCCCGGACTGTAAGGGGATGCGACAAAAGTTCCCAAACAAGGCTATTTATTTTAGAGCGAGTCAGTTTTGCAATATGAGGGCGCGCGTTGTCGTGGATGAGAACGATCTTTGACTTAGAGGGCCTATTCTTCTTCAGGGATTCATTCACCTTTCCCCCCCAACTGTTCACTGTATTTGATTGCATTAACGATCGTCTTGCTATCCAGCAACTCCCAGTACACCACTCCCTCCATATCCCAGAAAACGCAGAGCATAAACTTCTTCTGGTGCAAATCGGGCTTAGGGTCACTTTCGGGTTTCTCGCCTGGCCCCACCCATTGCCACTTCCTCTGAAAGTTCACAGATAAAACCCATTTCTCATCTCCTATTACAATTCGAGAAAGAAAAGATTTGTCGAGTGCAATAGAAGAAGTGAAGAAAAATACCAAAAAATGAAAAGCTGGAAGCATAATTTTTTCGCAATAATTTGAGAAAATGTTGAAGTAACCAAACCCTGGTTTTTAGCTGGTTCAATACTGTTGTTTTTTATTTGCGAGTCCCGCGAAATAGTCGGCAGTTTTCAATTCACCAACCCAATATTCTTATTTGGAAATATTTGAATATTAAAAATATAAAGTGATAAAAGTTTAAAAATGAATTTTCGATGCTTGAAAGCGATCCCGAGGAAAGCTCGGTCGATCCGGAAGAGCAAAATCAACGGAATGGAGTCAGGTGAGCATTCGAAATCAATTTTCAAGTAAATTATTACGAATTTTAAGAATTTTTTTTTACAATCACTGTGTTAAGATTCAATTTCTTTTAGAAAAACTATAAATTAACAGATATCGAAAGGGTAAACGCGTGAAAACGGTGGGCGATCAAGAAGGATTGGCCGTTCATCTCATCCCCATCACACAACACAACGAACAAGAAGAAGAAACGGATGAAGAAGAAGAAAAAGAGCGAGAGATGCAAAGGTAACAAGCAAAAGGTAGGCTTGCTTTCAACACACCTTACACATTAAATCAATTGGTACAAGTGCATAAAGGGATCTCAATTTTAACTCTATTTATACAACTTTTCAAATTTGACATCATCCCTAATTTAGACGATTTTCCGGTAGACTTTTTTATATTAAATGAAACCAATTCAACTTTAATAAGCTATAGAATTCAAATAGAATTCTTTCTTGAAATCTATCTATTGAAATCTTTGTTTTATTAAATGAAAGCAATTCATATCTTGTGTGATGGGGATGAGCGGCCTTCTTCCAAGCCTTCTTGTTCCAATCCTTCTTGATCCAATCCTTCTTGATCCAATCCTTCTTGATAGCTCACCGTTTTCACGCGTTTATCCTTTCAATATCTGTTAATTTATAGTTTTTCTTTAGCTATCAAAGTTCAAATCGAATTCTTTCATTAAATCTATTGAAATCTTTCTTCATTAAATGAAAGCAATTCAACTTTAATAAGCTATAAAATTGAAATCGATTTCTTTCTTGAAATCTATCTATTGAAATTTTACATTAAAAAGCTTAAAACTAGTCAAATAGAAGACAATTTTTTACTGTAAATTCGATGACAGAATTGGCTTTGATTGATTTGATTGAAGTTTGATAAACAAATAGAATTTGATATTGTTTGATTCGGAGAAATCTATAATCTACAGGGTGGCTGAAAATTACGTGCGCGCAGCATCAGCATCATAGTTTTAAACAATGTATAAAGCATTACTACTCATCTTTTTACTACTCAAGCATTACTACTCAAGCATTACTACTCAAGCATTACTACTCAAGCATTACTACTCAAGCATTGCTACTCAAGCATTACTGCTCAAGCCTGTATCAAAGCGGATGGAGGCCACTTCGAAAATTTCTTGTAATTATTAAATGCTTTTGTTACAACTATTATATAAATAAATATTTTTACATTTTCTTTGAAAGAAAATTAAATTATAGCGTTTTCTTTGGCGCACGTAATTTTGAGCCACCCTGTATATCTATCTAGAGATCTATATCTATCTAGAAATCTATATCTATCGAGAAAAACTCAAGAATTCTATTCTTTTTCCCTTTCATTCAACATTCATTTACTTTAAACTGGCTAGAATTAAACCTCATGTTTCAAAGTATTCAAATGGAAATGAAGATTTGACTTTATAATCGTCGTAGATTTCCTTTCAAAGCACTTGTACCTAAACATAATGAAAATAATATGTTAATGAGACTAATGTAGAGAAATATTGTTAGAATTTTGAAATTTTGAAAAAGATCCTTTTCCCTTAACAATCTTAACTTTCTCTTTTTAATAAAAAGAAAAATTTCCTCAAAATGCACTGCTTTTGTTGTGAACACCGAGAAACGCTAACTGCCAATGCACAAAGCGGGGGTGGGACAAACGCTACGCAACTTAACGCTTTTCCGCAGTTTTTGCCTTTTAGCCCAAATTTGACGTGTCAGCGAGGTGTGATTTGTCGAAATTCGGAATCTACGCATACGATTCCCTTCTATGAAAACATTTTCGAAGCTCTACGACCTTTCCTAAGGCCTTTTCCAGCAAAAAAAGGTGCGCAAATGTCCAGGTGCGCAAAAAAAGGTCGCATTTGTCCCACCCCCCCACAAAGCACAACGTTTTCTTAAATTTTATCATTTTAAAAAGATATGCAACTAATTGAAATTATTCTTTTATTAAATTTAATAGTTTAAGTTTTGATATTTTATTAAGTTGGCAATTTATAAACGATCGTTTTTTTGAGTAATGTGTTTTCTGAAAAAAACGGCTTATTCAATCCAAAAACGGTTTGCTTGATTCAAAAGCCCTATCCTTAATCTACAAAATGGCTTTTTTGAATTTTTGAAAAATGTTTTATTTTAGAACTTTTAATTTTAATGTAAGGCATTTTAATTTTAAAAATTTTAAGGCATTTTAATGTAAGAGTTCAAAATCCTGGTTTCTAGCATTCATGAGCTAATATATTTTTAAGTCATTGCATACTTTTTAAAATAAAACGCTTCATCGATTACATAGTTTCCCAAAATTTCAGAACAATCCAATCGATCGAGCCGTTCTCTTTCTTTTAATCTTTTTTTTTAATCTTGCTTAAATTCAAACGAAAATGGATTAAATTAGCACAAAAGTGCATTTTGAGCCTAATTTGAAAATCAACCTTCCAAAGCTTTTGTCTTTTTTTCTCGCCGTAACACGGCCGTCAAAAGGAGCGTCGCGGAACGGAACATTTGAAGTTTTTTGCGCAACTCGCCATAACTTTTTTTCTAAGTCGACCAATCTTTATGATTTTGGTTTCATTTTGTTACACTTATTGAGATCTACAAAATAACACCAAAATCATAAAGATTGCCCGACTCCGAAGAAAGTTATGGCAAGTTGCGCAAAAAAATTTGATGCAAAGTAGCCACCCCCTTAATTTGTTTAATTTGTCGCACTTTTGTCTTTTTTTCTCGCCGTAACGCGTCGTTAAAAGGAGCGTCGCGGAACGGAACATTTGAAGTTGACCATTTTCGCTTTTTTTTCTTTGAGCTTTTTTCAACTTTTGATGGACAACCGTTTTTCATGTTGGTCAGCTTGTAATTAAATTTCCTTTATATTCTGAAAATCATAACGTTACCTTTGTAAAGGCAATTGTTCTGGCGAAATCCTGGCTACACCCATGCATTCAGTCACTCAACAAAAAGCTAAAGTTATTTTCAACTCTTACATTAAGTTCTAAAATGCCAGAAAAAAGTTCTAAAATAAAACATTTTTCAAAAATTCAAAAAAGCCATTTTGTAGATTAAGGATAGGGCTTTTGAATCAAGCAAACCGTTTCTTGATTGGATAAGCCGTTTTTTCAGAAAACACATTACCCAAAAAAACGATCGTTTATAACTTACCAACTTAATAGCCTAAAAATTATCAGCGATTAATTCAAAAGTAACACAAATTAATATCATTTCTTTGAAACATGCTTTTTCTTTAAATTTCTTCAAATCTTTTTTTTAGTTCTAAAGCAAATTCTTTCAAAAATTTCAGTTCAAAAGCTTTAGTTTAAGTAAAAATTCATAAGTTTAAACCCTTATTTAGCTGTGATAAAGTTGAATTAACACAAAAAAAATCCTTGACTTACTTTTTTCTCATTTTTTTCAGACAAATCCTGCCGCCCGATGTCTACAAACGGGCCTCGAATGCATCGGAATCAAAAGAGAAAAAAGATTCTCACTCTATGAAAGATTTGCCCGTTCCCGAAACGAGAAATCGTCTATCCGCTGATTTTGTGCCCCAAAATTTGATGTCTTTTGACTCTGGGAACTCCCCAAGGGAAGAGTTTCGTCCCGTTTCCCCACAACAGAATTCCTCTTTTGAAAGAATACTCGATGATTATGATTAACTTTCAAAAGGTTTATCAAATATTTTCAAATCCGAATCTAAAATTAAATTTACTTTATCAACTGTTCAGTCTTTACGACTTCTTTCTGGTAGATCAATTAGTACAATTCAAGTGCTTGTAAAATGATTTGTACATCTCCAATCGGGAAACTTTTAATTGATAAATGTAGCCAAGATCAAGGGCTTCAATATATTATATAACATTTAGTACATTAGAGTTAAACTCGAGAGTTAATCTACGAAAAAGAAATAGCCGTAAAGACTGAGACTTTAAATGTCATTGATTTCTCCAGCTTTTTTTTTCAATTACTCCTTAAAATTACTTATAGTTTTCTAGTTATTGATCTCGATATAAAGTTCGAAATTGTATGTGTCGACTCTAAACAATAGCTTCAACAGCTTCAACAGCTTCAACAGCTTCAACAGCTTCAACAGCTTCAACAGCTTCAACAGCTTCAACAGCTTCAACAGCTTCAACAGCTTCAACAGCTTCAACAGCTTCAACAGCTTCAACACTAATCATTTTACTTATCTTTACAATTCGAAATTTTCTCTTCAAGTCAGCAGCTAATTAAAGCAGATTTTAAAAAGAAAAGATTCATTATATGTTGCCAATATAGATAAATAGATAAAAGTTTTATAATGCAATTAGGCTTTGATCAAAAAAAGCTAGATATTCGGGCCTCCTTTACCTTGAGAGATTTACGCTTTAGTCATCGCTGAATCTATTGGGTTCGTGAATTGAAAACTGCGGGCTATTGTCATATGTGACAGTTTGAGCGCTTTCTTCAAAAGAAACCCATTTTGGTGTCAATGGAAAAGTTGTAGAGAATCAAAAATCAAGCTTATATCCAAATTTTCAGAACGATTCAGAAACTGGTTTTCAAGAAATGCCAAATTTACGAATTTTCACAAAACTTGCATTTTAGGCGAAACTACTAAGTGTATCTTTTTGGAAATTTGGCTATAAGCTTGATTTTTGATTCTCTACAACTTTTCTATTGACACCAAAATGGGTTTCTTTTGAAGAAAGTGCTCAAATGCTCAAACTGGGACATCTCTAGTCCTCGATTTTTGAGTCTCACACTTGTCTCACACACAAACCAAAATCCTACTACGAAAGGGGAATCCGCAAATTGCCTGTAAAATGGGCAGAAGTCGTCAATAATAATGGAAATTATTTGGAATGAATTCATGGTTTTCTGTTCAATGAATTTTAGTTCAAAGTCCCGCAGTTTTCAATTCATTAACCCAATATCATTAAAGCATTTTATTATAATTTTTTTGCTTCTTTACTTACTTGAAATTATCGGCTATTATTGACTATTTTTGTTGCAAAGTTATAAAACTTTAAAACTTGCCGATTTTTTCCTTTGAGATTTCGCGAATTTCTTAACCATTTTTATGCAATTTTTGCATTTCTTTCTTAATTCTTTAACGAGAAAACTCTCACTTCTCAAGTGCACTTACAAATTGTTGTGATTCGAAAGAAGAAATCGTTTTTCTATTTTATAAAATCAATAATAAAATTTATTGTTATTTACAAAATGATATTCATCTCAAAGCTGAGTCAAAAAATGTATCAAAAATCGACGAGTTTTTATCGAAAATTTTAGAGAAAAGCTGCGAAAAGGCGTTTCCTTTGCGATTTTCCTTGTCACTCGGAATGTTTATCTAGAGTTTCAAATAGAAAATACTATTTATATTTGATTTCTTGATCTTAAGATTTGTTAGTTACAAGCCTTCAAATTTTGAGTGATAATCAGCTATTCATATAGATAGTTTTAGTTTAGTTTTAGCTAGCCAAATTGTACTGTACATGTACATTGTACTGTACAATACCCAAATCGATTGGTGTCGATCTCGCCATTCCCAAGTCAATCACTTGGGAATACGAAATACACGGGTTTTTGGATCTTCCTGGACCGACGGTCCAGGAATACAGAATCGTCGACGATTCCGTAACTCCCAAGAGTTACACATTTTATTGCCAAACACATATTTAAATGTTTAATAGCGAAAAAGATAGAGATCAAGTTTCAAAGTTGTCTGAATTTTATCAATCAATCTTTAAAGCTTATTGAATTCTTAAAAATCGCTCTGAATTTTTGAATTCAGAGCGATTCAGAGCGAATTTTTGAATTCTTAGTCAAGACAAAAATAAAATGAATTCATTCTATTAAAATAAAATGAATTCATTTTATTTTTTGAACTCTTTTGAAAGAGATTTTATTTACAAATTTGATTTAAATTTGATTTGATTTTCTTATTCAATTCAAACCAGAAAAAACGGGACTGACTCACCCCCCAAAATCCATCGAAATCATCGTTTTCTTCTTCTTCTTTCCGTTTTGAGTGAAAGTGATCGGCTGGAGATTTCTGAGAACGAAACGAACGAATTTTCTTTTGCTTTTTTTTTCAAACCGCAAACGTTTACAGGAATTGTTTTGGGAAATTGATACAAATTTTCACAGAACGCTTTTGGTTCTAGGAAAATGAGATTTCAAAAAGTTACGCAAGCTTCGATAAAATTCAGTTCTGTTGATAGTTTTGGAAGATGAAAACATATTGCAAAATGCAAAATTGCAAATTGAAAACAAACCGGAGCTCCAAATTTGATACGTACAAACTTGAAACTTAATATTTCTGGTATGCTCAGCTCATCAGTTTTAACACGCCAATTGATCGTATCAACTGCGAATTTCCAAGAAACAAACCAGAAATGGATTTGAATGCACGCCGAAATGCCCGCCAAAAGCTACATTTCGATTGTAGGGATAAATGAAGAAATCGGTTTCCTGAAAAGTTTTTTAAATTAAGTGAATATATTGGGTTGGTGAATTGAAAACTGCGGGACTTTGAACTAAAATTTATTCAACATAAAACCATCAATTGATTCGAAATAATTTCCATTATTATTGACGATTTCTGCCCATTTTAAAGGCAATTTGCTTTCGTGATAGGATTTTGGTTTGTGTGTGAGACAAGTGTGAGACTCAAAAATCGAGGACTGGAGATGTCCCAGTTTGAGCATTTGAGCACTTTCTTCAAAAGAAACCCATTTTGGTGTCAATAGAAAAGTTGTAGAGAATCAAAAATCAAGCTTATAGCCAAATTTCCAAAAAGATACACTTAGTAGTTTCGCTTAAAATGCAAGTTTTATGAAAATTCGTGAATTTGGCATTTCTTGAAAACCAGTTTTTGAATCGTTCTGAAAATTTGGATATAAGCTTGATTTTTGATTCTCTACAACTTTTCCATTGACACCAAAATGGGTTTCTTTTGAAGAAAGGGCTCAAACTGTCAAACAAAACTGACAATAGCCCGCAGTCTTCAATTCACCAACCCAATAATTTATAGATAAAAATCCAGCTAAGCAGCTAGCAGCTAGCAGCTAACAGCCTACCCATTTAACAACCCAATAATTAATTGGATAGCACTAAAACAATCCTCTCTTCCTAAGTAAAACATATTTGTCTTGATTTTAAAATAACTTTAGCTTGTTGTTGAGTGACTGAATGCATGGGTGTAGCCAGGATTTCGCCAGAACAATTGCCTTTACAAAGGTAACGTTATGATTTTCAGAATATAAAGGAAATTTAATTACGAGCTGACCAACATGAAAAACGGTTGTCCTTCAAAAATTGAAAAAACTCAAAGAAAAAAAGTGAAAATGGTCAACCTCAAATGTTCCGTTCCGCGACGCTCCTTTTGACGGCCGTGTTACGGCGAGAAAAAAGACAAAAGCGCGACAAATTAAACAAATTAAGAGGGTGGCTACTTTGCATCAAATTTTTTTGCGCAACTTGCCATAACTTTCTTCTAAGTCGGCCAATCTTTATGATTTTGGTGTTATTTTGTAGATCTCAACAAGTGTAACAAAATGACACCAAAATCATAAAGATTGGTCGACTTAGAAAAATTCGGTTCAACTTCAAATGTTCCGTTCCGCGCGCTCCTTTTGCGGCCGTGTTCGGCGAGAAAAGACAAAGCTTTGGAGGTTGATTTTCAAATTGGCTCAAATGCACTTTTGTGCTTTTCCATTTTTGTTCCTTATTGGTCTACAAAATAACCCATCATAAAGATTGGCCGACTTAGAAGAAAGTTATGGTTTCGAGTTTCGCAAAAGACCTAGTTGCGCAAAAAATTTGGCGCAAAGTAGCCACCGCCCAAATTACCATTTAATAACAGGTATGGAAACAGTAACAGATAAATGAATTGACTAATTTGGGGATTTCACCTGCTTAGAAACTTACAATGATCGCTGCAAGAAGTGATAGAAAATGTTGAAGTACGAGAAGAAATCTCATGTTTCAAGTTAGTTCAGGTGTAAGTGAAGTTGCCTACCATAATAGTTTCGGAGTTTCTCATCCATTTCATAAAGTTCATAAAATTTTCCAAACGACTAAGTCGATTTAAAGGTTCTCAGAACTTTCGTTTTTTGCTTTTTTTTTCCACCGAAACCACTCTCTCTTTACATCGAATATTTGCCTGAAAAAGAAAAAAGAAAAAGCTCTGGCATTGTTAATGTTTCAAAAAGCTATCTAAGTAGTAAGAAATTGAAAGTTCGTCGATGGATTAAAAGAAATCAAAAGTTTATGGAGTCGTTTTTGCAAATTTGCAAATTACGGTCTCTTTTTCTATCTAATTCGATTGACTTTCGAACTCTCGAAACAATATTCTAACAATTCTACAATAATATTCTAACTTAAAACAACAACAACAACTTCTAATATTCTAACTTAAAATCATTTTTGCGCATATGCAAATTTCAAAACAAATGTCAAATTGTTGAAAGCCTAAATTTAAAATCAACCTTCAAAATAGAAAGATCGGTTTTAAAAGGCGGAGACATTTCCTTTCCAAAAGATTTCCAAAAATTCAGCACCCGTTCTGGTATCAAATTCATTCATTCATCTGGTACTAGGACAAGTATTTGATTTTAAATATAATCTTATGCAAATTGTAGCTGTTACTAGACTAGCTATTCCAATCTAC